CTCTTCCTCTCCTCTCTTTTCCTTGGGGGGAGGGAGGGAGGGGCCATCCGTTGTTCTGGTTGGTCAAGTCGGTCAAAACCATGACAAAGTGTCAACTACTTTTACACTTTTTTTTCCACAGAATTTGTAAAAAATAAGTTATTACAGAATGAATTGTCTTATTTGTACAGCATGCTGATCCCAGAAGTGCCAGGGGTAAGCTTTAAAGTTTCCCTTAGGAGGACAGGGTTTAGTCTCACCTCTCCCACCTCCCCAGCTAATGCAGTTGACACCATACCATCAGGTCACTTCTACTGGTTGGACTTTCTGTCAACCCAGCTGCTAGAAAGAGCATTTCTCTCTCAGCTGGTGGGCAGGGTTATCCCAGGTGGGACCCTCAACAGGCAGAGGGATTCTTCTTTTTTCTCTTGGTGTCCTTCTGTACTTCCCATCGAGCACACACGGCTCCATCTACTGCCCCGATGTCAAAAGAACAGAGCCCGGCTGAATTTTGTCAGGGGCTTGATCTTCTCTGTATATGGGGAGTATTTTGCAAATGTGATAAATATGACTGATTTATCATGGTAGCTTGTGCCAAGTCAGTATCTCTTTTTGACAAGGTAAATGACTTCCTGGAAAAGGGAGATGCAATATCTCTAATGTCTCTGGAATTCAGTAAAAGATTTGGTGCAGGACAACAGAAAAAAATATTTCTTCCAGTTAAAGTGAACATTTTTACAAACACTGTAAGTGATGGATATGGGGAGGGGGTAAGGAACTGAATAAATCAAAGTAAAAAATATGAATGTTCAAAGGGGTTCTATATAGATAACTAGAGGGGATTACTGAACTCCCCTGAGGATCAAGTGTGGGACTGATTTTGATTAACATTTTCATTTTTAGTCTCAAAACTAAAAGAGGACCTCACCATAACTGTGTGTAGTATTTTCATCAGGCAAGAGGAACTCAAAGGGCAAGATGTGTTAACACAAGAGAAAACGGATATGAAAGCCATTTATAATTCTGGCTAGACAGTGAGATTATTGTTTTTTAAAAAGCAGTAATGATGCAAAAGACCTAACTGCTTTTAAAATGCCACATGAAGTTCCCCGGTTCATGAAAGACCGGAAAGAAAGGAACTGCTGGAGAGAGTCCAGTGGAGGCTATGAAGATGATGAAGGGCCTGGAGCATCTCTGTGCTGAGGAAAGGCTGAGAGCCCTGGGGCTGCTCAGCTGGAGAAGAGCAGACTGAGAGGGGAACTCATCGATGCTGAGCAATAGCTAAAGGGTGGATGTTAGGAGGATGGGGCGAGACTCTTCAGTGTTGCCCAGCAACAGGACAAAAGGGCATGGGCACAAACTGGAACATGGGAAATTCCATCTGAACATGAGGAAAAACTTCTCTCCTGTGAGGGTGGCAGAGCCCTGGAACAGGCTGCCCAGAGAAGGTGTAGAGTCTTCTTCTCTGGAGAGATTCAAACCCCGCCTGGACATGTTCCTGTCTGTCCTGCTCTTGGGGGACCCAGCTTTGGCAGGGGTTTGGACTAGAGGATCTCCAGAGGTCCCCTCTAACCCCTACCAGCCTGTGATTCTGAACAATGTAGTAAAAAAAATATAAAATAAAATCATTATGAAATTCCAGCATGTCTCTTCCAGTCCTGCAGTTTTCTGTCAACAACAAATCATCCCTAATTTCATTCTAGTAAGCTGTAACTTCCCATCACAACTTAGACTACTCCATATTTCTTGAAGATAAATACTCCATGTTTTTTTGAGAATGTGTGATCTAAAATTCATACCAGATGATATGCTCAGCTGAAGTTAGCAGATGAGTGAGCACTTTTCCACTTGTAAATATCTGAAGTAGATAGTTACTGTTTGGTGTCTTCCACACCGTGGCAATACCTGTGCAGTCTAGTGCTTTCAGATTGTGATGTAATTCTGACAGGTGGAATTCTGGAAATGAAACCAGGAACTGTAAGTTTTTCATAAACAACAACAACAAAAAGTAATTACAAAAGCAGATCTCGAGTCTTTACAGCTAAGTGACTTTTGTTTAAGCCCATTTTGATAGAGGAGAACTAACACTTAAGGGAAATAGCAGATTGAGAACACCATTGCTTAGCTTAAACCCTAGCCATTGTGTAAAATGTTCAAGCAAGGACTAGCAGAAGGAACGGTCATGATGACCTTCGCTTTGCTTGCATATGCTTTGCTTGCATTTTTGTAACTAACCACAAGATAAGGATGTAGTAAATTAGAAGGGATGCACACAGGTAATTACGAAGGAAGGAACTTATCAGAGGGAACAGGAGAGATGCACATCCTCTGCCAATTAAGAACTGGCCTGAGCAAGTTTTGTGGTGAAGGTGAAAAGTGCACAGTGAGGAAGACATATGGCCTTCATCTCTGAAACCCCAGCCCACGACCACCTGCACAGCTGCGAGAAGCTAAAAGCAGAGACAACGGAAATGATTTCTCGGAACTCATTGTAATAAAGACCGCCTTTTTGGGAGATGGTTATGGATATGCATAGGTGCTTCATAAATATGTAATACTTTATTGTATGAGTTCAAAGGAAATGCCACAGGTGGCGCGCATGATTGTGTTGGGGTGACCTTCTGTGCTGCCCAGCGCTGAATAAACATACCTACTTTACAACCTTACAGGTTGCGGAATCTGTTTTCCGCATGTCAATTTCATGGGTTTAGTGCTCAGGGGAAATGAAGGAAAAACTCCCATTTTTTTAGCCATGAATTGACTTAACTTCAGATGGACTGTGCTTCCACAGAAACGGCAGGCTTAAACTGATTAGTTGGCTTCTCTAATACTGCTGAAAAATATGGTATTTGGAGGGCTTGGGTTGAATACGGTGTTTTTTCACACATACAGACAAACCAGGGTGACCTTAGGGTGGGCCGGGGCCCAGTCCCGGCTGGAGGCTGCTGCCCCGCTGCCTGGTTACCCGGGCTGACACCCCTTCCGTGTATTTCCGTGGCAGCTGTTCGTTCTAAAATAACAATCTGTCCCGCTCGAGCTGGCCCGGAGCTCATCCATCGATCGGGAAAATCCTGTGGGTTCGACAGATGGGCACATCCAGCCCAGCGCGGGCAACGTGGAGCGCGGCGGCGGGTGAAATGCCGGGCCAGCTGAGGGGTCGGGGCCTGGTCGGACGAGCGGGGCCGGGCTCGGGGCCCCACCCGCGGCCCCGCGGGCACAGCCCCCGGCAGCGGGGGGTCTCCTGCTCTTCCGCAGCGCCCTCCGCCGCCCGCGAGCACTCCTCAGGCCTCCGCGCCTCCATCCCAGCCCGCGCGGGGGCCTCTCCCCGCCCCGCCAGGTCTGTGCGCCCTGTCCCGCTCCGGGGCCCCCCAGGTGTCCACGGCAACGCGCGGCCTCGCAGCCCCGCCGGCCAGAGTCGGGAGCACTGCCGGCGGAGCTGCCATGGCGGCCGGCGCCGGCAGAGTTTCCAGTCAGCGGGTGGCTGAGGACAGAGAGGCGGCGAGGGCGGCTGGCAGCGGCCGCTGCCCCGGGCAGGGCCTGCCCTGCGGGCTGGGGGCCGGCGAGGTACGGCGGCGGCGGAGAGCTGGGCTGCGGGGCTGAGCGCGGGGGGAGAGGGGCCGGCGGAGGCGCCTCCTCTCCCCGGCCCTAATGCGATCGTCCTGTGGGACAGGTAGGGCCTCCGGCCGCGGCGGGCGCAGGGAGCCGGCGGCGGGGTCCGCGCCTCCCGCGGCTGGTGCCCGCACCGCGCTGGGGAGCTCCGCCCGCCGGGCGAGCGGGGGGTCCCGGAGCGCAGCGCGGTCACGGAGCGGGCTCCGTGTGCGGGCGGGGGCCCTGAATGCGCGATCCCCGCGGCTGCCTCCCCCGCTCCGTGCCAGCCCCTTGGGCTCAGCTTGTTTCTGGGAGGAGCAAGTGCTTTCCCCGCTGCCGGACAGTCTCCGCCGCTCCGTGCCCGGGTGGGTGACACTCGCCACTCAAACGCAAGCCGAGACGCCAGTTCTCAGATAATACCCGCCGCTCTCCCTCTTGGGTAACTTCAGTCTGTCCTCAGTAAACGATTGCTGCGGATGCTGTTGCTATTGCCACCGTAATGTCTTTGAATTTTGTTTTTAGGGTAGTCACTCCTTTATTATTTTTAATGCACCAGAAGGAGCAAGGACTGAGATTTTCATTTAATTGGGGTAATTCACAGTCCTGATATTTTCTGGCACAAAAGGAGTTACCAAATTTTGATTAATTCACATAAAATATCTTCCAAATGTCTGATTTTGCTTCAAAATAGCGAACACCTTAAAGTGTTTGTGACTGAAATCAATGCCAGCTGACCAAATTTCAGCCTGCTCATCTGACTGTTCTTGACTGAAATACTGAAATTTGATTTGATAAGGTTTTCTTCACTGAAGAGAGAGGGGGTTATGGACAGCCTTTTGACTTAGCGTCTGCCACTTTCATGCAATCTAACGCTATGTTTACCTATGATGTGAAATTTTGACAGTGCTTTCTACTGAAGAGTAAGGTAGCAGTTTTAAAGGACCAGTTGTATTTCTCTTCTAAGCAAGTGGAATAATTCATTCACTTCACCTGCATCTGACAGTCGAGGAGTCTGTGGCTCTGCTGATTTCCCTTCTGTTTTGAATGCAGAATGCTAAGTGTGTACTGGCATACAGGTCTTTATGAAAGCTGTTGAAAGATTGAAGAGGTGTTGGTATAGCCTGCGTCATTTGGCAATGGATCCAGGGATATGAACACTGAGATAATCTGCTGAAGTAGTGTGAACTACTGATTGCTACGTGGTGGAAGAGCTTCTACAGAAATTGGTAAAATCCTGTCTGGGTCTTGAAGCCCGTGACTAAAACGAAGTTGAGACTGTGCCCAGTCTTTAAGAGTGTAACAGATTCATCCTCTTCATGTGTCAGTTTCCTGCACCTTGGTAGTCCTGCTCTGTTGCAGGAAGGAGGCGATTTCGCTTGTTTCTGTCCTGTCAGTCATATCATTCTTGTTTTGTCCTCTTTTGTGGATTACAGAAATATGTTGGAGAGTTCTACATGGACCAACGCCACGGGAAGGGGATTTGCTACTGGCCTGATGGTTCCAAATTCACGGGAGCTCTTTATCTTGGCCATGTAGAAGGCTATGGGACCCTGGAATGGAAGGATGGCAGAAAATTTCAGGTAACTGGAAAAATGCTGTTCTAATACTGTGATTTCCTTGCCTTTCAAAGTCAGCATAAGAACATGAAAATTTGAGTGTGGGGTTTTTTCAAGCAGCTCCCTTAGTGTTCTGGTTCTTCAGAGGAAATTAATCATGCCTTGATCTCAGTGAGTTAAGGCACTCCTTTCAACAGCTTAGCTTCTGCTGTACTCAACTTTTGCACAGAGAAATACTGAAGGAGGTGATCATATAATCATCAAGTCATTTAAGTTGGAAAAGACCCTTGAGTCCAACTCTAAAGCTGCCAAATCCACCACTAAACCATGTCCCTCAGCACTATGTCTTTTTAAATACCTCCAGGGATGGTGACTCAACCACTTCCCTGGGCAGCCTGTTCCAGTGCTCGACAACCCTTTCGGTGAAGAAATTTTTCCTAGTGTCCAATCTAAACCTCCCCTCATGCAACTTGAGGCCATTTCCTCTCATCCTATCACTTGTTAGTTGGGAGAAGAGACTGACCCCCACCTCACTACAGCTTCCTTTCAGGTCGTTGTAGTGAGCAATAAGCCTCCTCCCCTCAACCTCCTTTTCTCCAAATGAAAAAATCTTCAGTTCCCTCAGCTGCTCCTCATAAGACTTGTGCTCCAGAATCCTCACCAGCTTCATTGGTCTTCTTTGGATATGCTTCAGCACCTCAGTGTTTTGCTTGTGTGGGGCCCAAAACTACACACAGTATTCAACGTGAGTCCTCACCAGTACCCCCACCTCACTACAGCTTCCTTTCAGGTCGTTGTAGTGAGCAATAAGCCTCCTCCCCTCAACCTCCTTTTCTCCAAATGAAAAAATCTTCAGTTCCCTCAGCTGCTCCTCATAAGACTTGTGCTCCAGAATCCTCACCAGCTTCATTGGTCTTCTTTGGATATGCTTCAGCACCTCAGTGTTTTGCTTGTGTGGGGCCCAAAACTACACACAGTATTCAACGTGAGTCCTCACCAGTGGGGGATGGTCACTGCCCCAGTCCTGCTGGCCACATTATTCCTGATACAGGCCAGGATGCTGTTGGCCTTCTTGGCCACCTGGGCACACTGCTGGCTCATGTTCAGCCAACAGTTGACCAACAGCTGGGCAGCTCCAGCCACTCTGCCCCCAACCTGTAGCGCTGCAGGGGTTTGTTATGACCCAAGTGCAGGACCTGGCACTTGGCTTTGTTGAACCTCATCCCGCTGGCCTCAGTCCATTGATCCAGTCTGTCCAGATCCCTCTGTACAGCCTTTTTGCCCTCAAGCAGGTCAACATTCCCACCTAACTTGGTGTCATCTACAAACTTACTGAGGGTGCACTCAGTCCCCTCCTCATGATCGTTGATAAAGATATTAAAGTGAACCAGCCCAATTACTGACCCCTGGGGGACACTACTTGTGACCAGCTGCCAACTGGATTTAATTCCATTCACCACCACTCTTTAGACCCAGCCTCCGCCCAGATTTTTACCCTGCAAAGTGTATGCCCATCCAAGCCATCAGTAACCAGTTTCTCCAGGAGAAGGCTGTGGGAAATGGTGTCAAAGGCTTTAATAAAGTTGAAGTAGACAACCTTTCCTTCATCCACTAAGCAGGTCACCTTGTCATAGAAGGAGATCAGGTTTGTAAAGTAGGACCTGCCTTTCATAAACCCATGGTGATATGGCCTGATGACCTGGTTGTCCTGTATGTGCCATGTGATGGCACTCAAGGTGATTTGCTCCATAATTTTCCCTGGCACCAAAGTCAGACTGATGAGCCTGTCCGGATCCTCCTTCCAGCCCTGTGATGTGATACCATCTGTCCAGAACTAAAAAAACTGATACCTGGAAAATTTTCCTATTCTGGTATCTAACATATAAGATTTCAGTATTTATTCTCCTTCTTTGATGAAAAGCTTGTTAGTTAGTACTTTCAAAAGGCATATTAGGATGCCAACAATATAAAACTGGAAAAATACCTCATTTTAAGAAACTAAGATAGACAGCAATATCAAGTGTCCAGGTAGCTAGTCATCTGTTTTTCATCATTTTCAGACCTGAGGTTGCTAGTAGAAGCTGGAAATCTTGTTTTTTAAGAGCTGCTTTGTTTTCTTAGAAGGTATATCTGAAAAGTCCAAAGCATAGGTGAACACCACCTACCCATTCCTACTGATCCCTAGAGAGCTCTGCAACTCATCAAATAGCCTAAACCAACATAACAGTCTTTGCATTGAGGAGATGATCAACAAGAACATTGTTGCTGTGTGTTGGTCATGCGGCACTAATTATAGATTTAGAAGAACTTTGAGTATATGATGCATAATCTAAAGCTCAGGGGGAAATAGAGAAGCTTCAGATTATAACCATACTCAGAATTTTATTCTTGCCAGTGGTAGCACTTTCCTCCTCCTCCTTTATCTTTGCAGCTAAACATCTCAATGTGAAGTTGCTAATTTTTGCTACAAATAGCTGTTTTGAGGTTGTGATAAGTTAGTGTGAACCTCTCTTGAACCACACGGGTGATCCAGATGTGCATGAGTCTGTGCAAGTTTGGTAATGCTCATGCCTTACCTACCATAGTGTCATGGCCAAACTGCGATACCCTTATAGGAAGACTAAAACTCCCATAGTGCTTTATTTGCTACTGAGACTCATCTGTTGGCACGTCTTGTGGTGCTTGCAAGGCTGTAGATATCCTAAATTTAGTTTCCATTGTAAAAACAGAGTAAAAAGACAGAACAAGAGGGAACAACAAAACAAGAGGGAACGGCTTCAAGCTCCAACAGGGTAGGTTTAGACTAAACATTAGGAAGGAATTTTTCATGGAAAGAGTGGTCAGGCATTGGAATAGGCTTCGCAGGGAGGTCACCATCCCTGGATGTGTTTAAGGGACATTTAGATGGGGTACTGAGGGATATGGTGTAGGGGAAGACTATGTAGAGTAGGGTAGATGGTTGGACTCGATGATCCCAAGGGTCTCTTCCAACCTGAACGATTCTATGATTCTATGATTCTAAAAAGGAAATAACTGTAATTTCTAGATTGTGTGTCTGTGCAGATGTGTGTCAGATGTGTTTGTTTTGATTAGGTAGGAAAAGCTAACCAAAAATCTGTCCTGGCCTGAAAGGCAGCAGCCTAGCTAATAAATCTAAAATTGGTCACAGAATAAAATTAAAAAGAAAATCTTGCTCAGGCTCTAAGACCATCAGGAATTTTCATCCAAACATTACCTCCCACGGTAGTTAAATTTAGGGCCTTCCACCGTTCCTACAGTGGAAGACTTGTGTTTGCTATTTAATGGACCAAACTGGATGTGAAGGCTTTGCTGTTCAGATTGGCTTCAGCAGTTATTGCTCTGTCAATAAGAAGTGGACCAGTAAGGCCAGAACCAGCCTGGTTAGTTTAAATAGAAACCTGACTGTAATTGTACAACTTGCTTGGTCTCTGACTGATACTAATGAGTTTACTTGTTTCTTAAGGGGCTCTACAAATCTGATGAGCGATTTGGACCAGGGATTGAGAGCTATCCAGATGGCTGTCAGGACGTTGGTTTGTGGCTCAGGAATCATCTAATTAAACTATGTACTGAAATACCTGGTTATTTTTCTCTCTTGGATTATCCAGCACACTACAGATACATTGATGACAACTGTCAAAAGAAGTATATTTCAGTTGAGGAAGACCCGTTTCTCCGTAGCTATAAACATCTCCCTTTTGATGATAAGGATATTTTTCCTGAAGGAGTCTTTGCATATTCTCATAACACAGATCATCTTACTTTGACGCGCTCCTTTCTGGAAGAGTGTGATGCTTGGTATTTTCAGAACACCCCAAAGCTGCCTGAGGAAGATTCTTGGCCTGTTGCAAATGTGACCCCTCTACTTGTTAGAATGCAGACACATGTTTATAAGCACAGGTAACTGCTGATAATTTTTTTATTAAGTATGAATTTTTGGAAATTATTATCCATGAGTGTTCATTATTTTCAAAGTTACGTTGCAGGATAAAAGCTGCACTCCAGATTGTTTTTTATGGCCTTGAGATTACAAGTTGCCAATGAGGATTGGCAGAAAAAGAAGAAAACAACATATCTTTCAATTCACAAATTGTATTCCTTTTAGTTGAACACCAGTTTTATCCTGGTTAGACCTATAAAAATAGTCTAATTACTCATTAGCATGTGAGAGTTTCTGGAAGTTCAGTTTTGAAAGAAATTAGGAGGCAAGGGCTGTAGAGACCTGTTCCGACCTTCCCTGTTCCAAGAGTGTGTGGAGAAGCATAGTGCCAGATTTTTGGAAGCACTGAAACTCTGCCAATGATACCTTTTTGTGTTTGTTGTGACTTTTTTTCTCCTTCAAGGCTATACAAAACATGCTGCAGCAAATTTACAGCTACTAGAACTGCCAACTGCATGTCAGTTTTTATGTAGCTTACTATTTGTACATGGAGATGTTCTTTGGGCCAGCAAAGAATTTCCTTGTTTGTTTTTTTGATAGTAAAACAAGCTACCCAAACATATTTTATAGTCATAGTTGAAGCAGATGATGGAAATTAAATCCTAAATAGATGTCGTGAGTGTGCATGATAAATTCATTCACAGAAGAATGTGGTAGTTAGATTTTGTTTTCTTTTTTTAGTAGATGTTTCATGGATGGATATTTTTTAACGCCTCTGTAGCAAAAATCTATATAATTCTGCCAGCAACCTGTACACTGGTTTGCCTTTCTGCCATTAATGTAAGCAAGCTTACTACACTATCTGAAACAGTTCTTAAAATGATGGTCTTATTTTCTTCTTGGTGTGTTTTTAATTTAATTGCCACAGTGGTCTAAGAGTACATAGCTGTTTAAGTGTACTGTACTTTTTTTCTCATTTTCTAGGTGCTGTCAAGGGGACTTCACTTCAGATGTCAACCTCATTCTCAGTGGATCCCGCAGTACTTACGGGCCTCCGGGCCCCAGGGAACTTGCCTCAGAGCAGCTAATCCAGAAGGCAGCAAGAGGAGACTATGATGGGGTCTGTGCCATTCTGAGGAGTGGGCTTGCTCATCCAGACGTAGCTGACAAACATGGATACACAGCACTTGCTGCTGCTGCTGTAAGGCTCTAAGTGTAACTCTTTACCACATGATGAGAAAATTTCTGGTATAGCAGGCTGGATCAAATTTTTCTCTTGTGTCATTACACAGTATGAAATGCATGTTCAGTAAACAGGAAAACCAGAAAAGCGGTGTGGTATGAGTAGTGTCTGTAATGACTGGTATCATGCCAAACCCCGCAGTAAATAAATAACCTAAAAGTAGCCCTTTGGTAAATATTAGAGATGATTTCAAATGTCAGAGTTGATTTCAGGTTATGATTATGTGGTGGACTAGATCTGTGTTCTTGGATGTGACTGTGCCCTTATTATTTTTTCCCCTAGTTGAACAGATTCAGACATGATTGTTTTCTTTTTGCTGAAAAGCAGTGGTGACTAGAAACCATGCATGCACAACTTCAGTTTCTATAGGGAGGGGGGTGAAACCCTGCTCCCTGCCTTTTTCTTCATGCACTTTTCAGCTACCTCAATAGTTGGCATTCATTGTAAATGGCTAGCAATATTTAGATAATAATTTAGAGCACTGTATTGCTCCTGTAGCCATCTCAGTCACTTTTAGTCTCTTTCTGTGCATGAATCCTCACTGAATTCCTGTGAAATCACATAGTTAAAAATTAGCTGAAGAACACCTGTTCTGAACCCTGTAAGACATGGTTCAGAATTGTGTTTCTATTTTGTGGGGAAAAAAGAATTGAATTAACTATGCTGTGTAGAGCATCACTATTTTAAAATTGCATTGTCATTTCTTTCCATGTCAAAAGCTAGAAGTGTGCAAGTATGGTTGTTTCCCTTCTACAGGTTAATTCTCACAATGATGTTGTCAATCTTCTTCTTGATAGTGGAGCTGATGTGAATAAGTGTAGTGATGAAGGATTATCTGCACTCTCCATGTGCTTTATTCTCTTTTATCCAGAAGAATCTTTTAAGGGTAATATTGCTGAGAGGAGCTTGCACAGTTACAAGGTTTGTTTACTTCTAATCTAAAATGACAGAATCATAATGTACTATTTCCTCAAGCTGTAAGCTTGCTTTATAAAATTTACTGTGTATAATCCTAGGGAAAAGTCAGAGCTTTCAGGCATTTTGCTCTCTGAGGATGTAGAATAATGTCTACACTCACCGTTAACTCCTATCTCAAAGGACTAAACTCCAGTGCAGCTACAGGCTTACTCTGCAATTGAAATAAGATGCTGTATCAATAGCAGATGTGAAGCCATGTTGGGTAGGTGTTTAACACAATGCAGATGCAGTGGGGCTGTTGATGGGGATTACAAGAGCATAAGTAGAACAGTAGGATGTAGGTGATTCAGCTGGTACTATGTAATCCTGCTAGTGGCTAGTAGAAAGCAGCTGTAGAGTCAGAAGTGTGCTGATCCTTGGGGAGTGCTCACAAAGGAAGAATCCTATCCCTGGAAGAGAAATGCCTGTTCTGGACTTCCTATGTAGGAGCATGCTATACATTTATTTGTAAGAGTGCAAACCTGAGAATGGGAAAGAAAATGAAAGCAAGGTGTCGGGAATCACCAGCCAGGATGAGAGAACAGATAAAAAAGGGTTTGGGCAGGAACTCTGTGGTCGTTGAAATGTTTCAGTGGAGTCCAGCAATGGAAGGGTACTACTGAGACTTTCACATGAGGCTAGACAGGTAGTGGCCTGTGCCTTGAGAAAACTTGTTGGAAATCAAGTGTGCAGTTTGAAAAATCTGTAAGTGCCTTGTTTTATTTCAGCAATTTTTTTTTCTTTTAAGCTAGGGGATGTATACTTTTAACTCTTCTAAATATATCTTAGACATTACGGAAATTGAACAAGAAGAATATTCCATTACTTCAAGAGATTTTAAAAAAAACCCAACACCTTAGTTACACAGTACTTCTAAATTATTTCCCTATAACAGATGTTAACAAAATTCTGTTATTATATGCTGTATGGTGTTGCTGTTCTGATAGTCATGCATTAGAAAAATACTTTGTTTTCATTTTTGTAACCTCTTTCATTTTTAAAATCTTTAAGTGGAATGAACAACCAGAATCCTCAGAAACAATCAATGTGGCTGAAGACGTTATCTCAGAGTAAGTCTCATGCACTATAAAGGGGAGACCAACTCTCACAAACCCTTTTGTATAAAGAAGGTAACAGTATTTCACATATATCACAGAAGTATGCATCCATTGCAGGGAAAGATATTTTTTGTTTATTCAACTGGGTAAATTTTGTTTGCCAATAGAAGCCACTCATTGTTTATACACTCTAATGTAGCTTGTGTCAGCAGTGGACAAACATTGCTGTTGAAAGTGTAGTTCCAGCGAAGGATGTTATGCTTGAACAAGAGAAGATTTTGTGTGAGTGGAGTGTGAAAAGCTGCTGAATATGCAATGGACACTTGGAGTGTAGTATAGATGTGAGGAAGGAGAATGTATTAATTTCATTTCTTGAAATCTTGACTACATATGAACTTGCTAGTTGTTTTCTGCAAGTGTCTATTCAGCAGTGTCAGCCCTTTGTGGATCTTGGAAAGGGCCACATTTTGCTTTTTGCTTTGCAGTCATCAAAGATGATAAAATTTTTGTATTGGGTTTTATGGTGGTGTAGGTAATTTTTATATCTTAAAGCTCGCAAATTGAAAATTCCTGGTTGGCCTTCTGGCCCTCATCCTCTTACATATTACTTTTGTTGCACATCCTCTCACCTCCCATGATTCTTATTGTCTGAAATATTGTGCATATTGCATGTTTGTTCATTGGAATATAAAGATCATAGAATCATAGAATGGTTAGGGTTGGAAGGGACCTCAAAGATCATCGAGTTCCAACCCCCCTGCCCTGGGCAGGGACACTTCCCACTAGAGCAGGTTGCTCAAGGCCCCATCCAGCCTGGCCTTGAACACTTCCAGGGATGGGGGATCCACACTTCCCTGGGCAACCTGTTCCAGTGCCTCACCACCCTCATAGTAAAAAATTTCTTCCTGAGATCTAATCTGAATCTTTTTTCTTCCAATTTAAAACCATTTACCCTTGTCCTATCATTACACTTCTGGCAAAGAGTCCTTCCCCAGCTCTTCTATAGGCACCCTTCAGTTATTGAAAGGCCACTGTAAGGTCTCCCTGGAGCCTTCTCTTCTCCAGGCTGAACAATCCCAGCTCCCTCAGCCTTTCTTCATAGGAGAGGTGCTCCATCCTCTGATCATCTTCGTGGCCCTTCGCTGCACCTGTTCCAGCCGGTCCATGTCCTTTCTGTGTTGAGGACTCCAAAACTGGACACAGTGCTCCAGGTGGGGTCTCATGAGTGCAGAGTAGAGGGGCAGAATCGCCTCTCGAGACCTGCTGGCCACACTTCTCCTGATGCAGCCCAGGACTCGGTGGGCTCTCTGGGCTGCCAGCGCGCACTGCCGGCTCATGTTGAGCTTCTTGTTCATAAGCACTCCCAAGTCCTTCTCCTCAGGGCTGCTCTCCAGCCATTCTCCACCCAACCTGTAGTTGTGCCTGGGGTTGCCACGTCCCAGGTGCAGGACCCTGCACTTGACTTGGTTGAACCTCATGCAATTTGCATGAGCCCACCTCTCCAGCCTGTCCACGTCCCTCTGGATGGCATCCCTTCCCTCCAGCGTGTCAACTGCGCCACCAAGCTTGGTGTTATCAGCAAACTTGCTGAGGGTGCACTCTATCCCACTGTCCATGTCTCCAACAAAGATGTTAAATAGTACTGGTCCCAATACCACGCCCTGCGGAACACCACTCGTTACTGGCCACCTGGACATTGAGCCATTGACTGCCACCCTTTGGGTGCGGCTGTCCAGCCAGCTCCTTATCCACCGAGTGGTCCATCCATCAAATCCATGAGTTTGATCCATTGTATGTAGGGCTTGTGGGTAAAGCTGAGTTAATACCATGCCTGAAAAGATGAGTCTCTCCTGAGAGCACTTTGTGATGGAGTTTTTGGGTGATTTCCAAGTGCTGTTTGCCCTTTCTTTTGCTTTGGTAGTGTCACATTTTTTTTGGGGGTGTGTGTGTGGACAGTTGGCTCCATGGAAATATAGATGGCACCTGAAATATATTGTTCTAGTCTAGTTCCAGCTTTTGTTGAAGTGAAACACTGTACCTTCGTTTTCATGGACGATATGAGGTATGATTGAGGAAGGAACCTTCCAAGGAGTCTTCAATGGCAGGAAGGAGTAGTCTGTTTCTTTCATTAAACAAATCTAAGGCCAGTTGTTTACAAGTCACACAGGAGTGACTGGTGGAGATGCAGAGAATCTTCCGTAGCTTTGCAGTCTGTTCCCTTGGAAGGGCTTTTCATGACCACAGGGACTGCTTTTGCATGCTACTCCTTTAGTTTAGAGGGCAGAGATACACTGGCAGCACTGTCCTCTCTTCAGGTCATACTGTTGTTGCCTGGGTGGTGTAGGGCAGTGGTGATGCCAAAGACTGCCATGTCTTCCCTCTGCTAAGTGACAGTTTTCATGTCTATTACCTGGGAGTCATTTTAGTCCACTAGCTTTTTGTGGTTTTGTGGAATATGTGCTAATATGTTATTCTGGTATTTCCTATGTCAATTCTAGACGACAGAAGAGATGGGAAACAATCCAACTGCTGCTTCATCGAGGTGCAGATCCCAATGCATCCTGGGTCCCACCGCACCTTTTGTTTTTTGCTGTTAAAGCTGCAGATGCAAAAGCAGTGAAACTCCTCTTAGAAAGGGGAGCCAGGACTGATGTGCGGCTTCCATCCAAGGTTTTACTGGTTTATAATTCATAATGTGGGATTGTAGATGTGTACTAAAGCTTTAGTGCCCTACTGTAAAATATCCTGCATATCAGAATCACCTTTAGAATGGCCAGAAAGCTGTTTAAAGCGATGATCCCATTCAAAGATATCTTTTTTTAATTGAAAGAACTCAAAGCTTCTTACTTTCCAACTATTTTTTGTTCTCATTATATTTCCTGGTTGCCAAGTTTGTGAGTGGCTGGGGAATACTTGTGAAGCTGCTCCTCAAGTGAGGAATGGCTGTTGTGATATTTAGTAGACTTAGTGTCTGTGACCTTTAGTGTTCTACAGTCCTATAACTCTAGGCTCTAGGTTTATGGTGGCTGTTTGTGAGACGCAGCATGTGGGAAGAGTGAGCTTGGCTTATTCTTTGAAAAAATATTAAGGGATATTGAAATGCTGCTTGTGATAAACAGGAGTCTTACTGCTTTGTTTGTTGTTCCAGCTAGGGGGGTTAACTCCTCTCCACATAGCTGCCTCAATTCCTGGAGAGGAAGGGGTACAGATAACACAATACCTCCTGCATTCTGCCCCAGATCTTAATGCAAGGGCAGAAGATGGAAATGAGATATACAGTCCAGACAAGGTATGTTGCTTTTTGAGCTCATCTTCTTTCAGCTGTTGAAATTCAGATTGCACAGGACCTAATCAGGGAGTTGAGATTCCTGCCTGCTTGATTTCTTTGAGTTCTCCTGAATGAACTAAAAAAAAAAAAAAAAAAAAAGGAAGAGAAAAAGCCACTTGAGGTCTATAGTATTGGTTTGCAGCAAACATATCCTTCTGGCTTTGGTGCCCCAGAAAATTTTGCTATCATGCCTTATATAAGGCAGAGTTTAGAAGTCTCTTTTCTGTAGTCCAGTACAAATGCCTGAAGATACATGACTACAGAAGCAGGTAAGTCTTTGATGAGACTTGCTTTTTTCATCTCCATGGAACTGGCCTAATATTTATTTTCTTTTCTTACTTCTCTTTTCCTTGAACCCAGTCTGTCTCTGCTACATTCCTGCAGCGTTCTCTGTGTCTCCAGGTTGCAGAAGACCCGCTTAGCAGTAGACTTTTGTGGTAGTATGGCAGTTTTTAGTTAGAATTGCCATTTTTTATGATAATTCTCTACTGCTTATAGAGCTATACCAGCAATATGTGCTTTTTCTGGCATTTGTTACTACAACATAAAGTAATTGGTCTGGTAACAAAATCATTTAGTCACAGAACAGCTGAAAGATTTGAAGTGACCTCTGAAGATTGTGTAGAACAATACCCCTGCTCAAAGCAGGATCAGTTATAGCAGGTTGCTCAGAATCTAAGTCCAGTTGTTTTTTGAGTATCTCCAAGGATGTAGACTCCACAATTTCTCTGGGTAACCTGTTCCAGTGGTGACAATTTTCCTAATGCAGGCCAGGATGCTGTTGATCTTCTTTGCTGCAGGTGTGCACTGCAGGCTTACGTGCAAGTTGTCTACCGAGACTTCCAGGTCCTGTTCTAAAAGGTTTTTTGCTATCTGGTCAGCCCCCAGTCTGTACTGGTGCCTGGAGTTATTCCTCCCCAGGTGAACGGGAGGAATACAACAATTTCCTTCTGTTGAATTTAGTAAGATTCCTCTCTGCCCAGTTCTCCAGCCTGTTCAGGTCCCTCTGAAAATCAGCACAACTGTGTGGTGCATTAAACTACTCTTCTCAGTTTTGTATCATCTGTGTACTTGCTGAGGGTGCACTCTGTCCCAGCATTGAGGTCATTAATGATGCTAAATAGTATTGGCCCTAGTATCTGCCCCTGGGCTATAACACAGCTGGACTTAGGGCTGCTGATTGCAACCTAGGATCCATCTCACTGTCCAGTTGTCTAGTCTGTACTTCTTCAGCTTGTCTGTGAGGATGTTATGGGAGACAGTGCTGAAAGCCTTGCTAAAGTTAAGGTAAACAACATTTACTGCTTTCCCCACCTTTCACCAAGCTGGTCATCCCATTGTAGAAGGCTATCATGTTTGTCAGGCATGATTTCTCCTTTGCAAGTAAATGCTGACTGCTTCCAGACACCTGCTTATCTGTAGTGTGTCTGGAGATGGCTTCTCAGAAGATTTTTCCATCATAGGCTTGTAGTTCCCTGGTTCCTCCTTCCATTTTGCCAGAAATGCAAAGAAATTCCTCAGAAATGTCCCATGCTCGCCCTGACCATTCAGAGGTAACCAAAGTGGCCTTGTAATGACATTGGGCAGCTTCCTGGCATACTGTCAGGTGCCAATCACTTAAAAAAGGAGTTGGTTTATGTAACTAGACTGATAAAATTTATCTTGGAATGACAAGGACTAAGGTGAATGTCTGCAGGACAGGGAGATTGTTGCAGGTGGGTGCTGAGCCATCCCCAGGACAGCCGGGCTCCATCAGTGTAACGGTGACTTGGGGAGACAAACACCATCATTCCGAACGTCCCCCCTTCCTTCTCCTTCCCCCAGCTCTATGTGCCGAGCATGATGCCGTATGGCGTGGATGTCCTTGTGGTCAGTTGGGGTCAGCTGTCCTGGCTGTGTCCCCTCCCACCTTTCTGTGTCCCCCCAGCCCTCTCTGGTGGGGTGGGCTGAGAGGCAGAAAAGGCCTTGACTGCCCAGAAACAACTGAAAATGCCAGTGCTATCAAAAGTATTTTCTCATCCTAAATCCAAAACATACCCCTGTACCAGCTGCTAATAAAAAAGTTAACTCTCTCCTAACTGAAACGACGGCAGCTGAGCAGCCAGGAGGCAGTTTGAGCCGAGTCCCAGTCCCTCCTCAGCCAGCCATTCCCTCCGGCATTGTCCTGTCCTTCTCCCCTTCCCTTCAGTGGGGTGTGGGGATGGGGATTGGCCTCTCTGGAGCAAGAGGTCACTAGAACAGCAGCTGCGCTAGGCTTGCCCGGGGGCTGCCTCTGGGCACACGTCTTCAGTGGGCCACAGCAACTCTTACTCAGTGCTCTGTATGCAGCAGGCAAAACAAATAGTGACCCAAAGGTTGCACTCTGTACCCATCATTCTTAGGAGTGAAGATAACTCCTCTCGAGTCAGTGTTTGTGTTGTTTAAAATTCTGCAGCTTTAGATAGCCTTAAGCTGTGCTGAACAATGAGGACTTCCAGCAAGGAGCCGGCAGCGTCTTCTTTTCTAGCCAAATAACGAGTTATCTCCTGTGCAACAGGCAGTAAGAGAGAGGAGGCTTTTCTAACCAGCATGTGACTAAAAGGGCAGCAATTTCAACAACCAGCATCGTATGTTTCTCAGTCCTGCCAGCTTGGAGGAGTCAAGGAGAAATTTGCAGGGAGAGAGCAAAGGTGCAGCTGTGAATCGCAGCAGCCCAGAGAGCTGCCCAGCCCGGTGCCTGCCTACTGCTGCCTCACACCCCACTTGTGTCTGGGGCTTCCAGTGCAGCATCTCGCCTTCTTCATGTCACCTCTTGCTCTGCAGCTTGTTCAGCACCTGCACCCAGTCATATACGTTTCACCAAGCGTGAATTAATGGATCCGTTCAGCCCAAAGATATGGGAACACCATGAATTTTGATAGCGTACCCAAGGTTGAAATTTCACTAATTAAGTGGCCCTTTTTGACCTTTCTGATCACCTGGTTTAAAGCATTGTGTAATTTTTATTTGGTTTTTTTTTTTTTAAAGTGTTTTATCTGTATGTCCTGGGCAAAACTGAATAATATTTGTGAGAAACAAAACATTAACATTGCAGTTCTGCTGCCTTACAAATAGTTTCTTACTCAAAATTCCTGTGAGTAGTTCCTGTCCCCTCTGCTGCTTCTTGTGCAATACCAGAATTTTTGGATTATCGGCGAGAACTTGAAGGAGACCATTATTTCACAACCAGGCATCTGACTGTCTTGAGGTTAGCTGGCAGTTGCCTGGGATTTCAGTTTAAAAATAGATACCTTTTTAAGCAACCGGTCTGCTTTGGTTTTGGCTCCTGTGAACGGCTGTTTACTCCACGAGCCATGAAGCATGTCAGAAGAAAAGCCAGAGGAAAGATAGCCCTTCAGTTTCCTACCTGGTGCCCACAGCAAGTGCAACACAGAAAGAAAATCAGCCTCTTCGGTAACAAAGAGCAGCAATTTCACTAAATGAAAAGTTTCAAACCCATTTCCAAGCCAAATCCTGCTTTAGCAAGTCTGTGTTGAGAACGCCAAGAATTAAATTCAGGCCTCTGTAAATGGAAATGGCCCCATGTGACATGCTGCAGCAGTGTCTGTAGGACAGCTGCTGTTGGAGGGTCCCTTTGGGTGATGTGGCAATGCGTTGAAATCAACACTCAACTGATGGTCTGAGGTCTGTTGTTGAAGAAAGCTATTCATTATCCCTCTCAATTCCTGTGCAATTTAAGACTAAGCTAAATTCAAATGTTTGTTAAAGTCAACAGGAATTAAAACAACTGTTTGTTAGACATTCAAGCACTGACATTGTGGGTCAGCTTGTCTCATCAGCCTCAATTTGCCTTCAGTTATAAACAGTTCAGAGGATGAAGCACATCATATTCATATATCAGTAAGTTTGCAGATAGCACCAAGTTAGGTGGGAATGTCGACCTGCTTGAGGGTAGAAAGGCTTTGCAGAGGGACCTGGACAGGTTTGATCCATGGGCCGAGGCCAGTGGGATGAGGTTCAACAAGGCCAAGTGCCTTGGGTCACAACAACCCCATGCAGTGCTACAGGCTGGGGGCAGAGTGGCTGGAGCCTCAAGTGGCTGGGGCCTCAAGTTGCACCAGGAGAGGTTCAGGTTGGATATTAGGAAAATTTTTTACACTGGAAGGGTTATCAAGCCTTGGAATGGGCTGCCCAGGGAAGTGGTTGAGGCACCATCCCTGGAGGTATTTAAGAGATGGGTTGACATAGTGCTTAGAGACATGGCTTAGTGATGGGTTTTTTTCATAGTTAGGTTGAGGGTTGGACTAGATGATCTTAAAGGTACCTTCCAACCTAGACAATTCTGTGATTCGATGATTCTATGATTGAGACTCAGACAGGTCTATTTTCTAACTTATATTTAAGCTATATTGTAAATATGCCTATTATTTCACTTTGGTCCCTCAGAGTCAAGCCAGAGAAGCCAATTTGACAGGTGATGTCACTTTGCAACTGAAAAATGAAGCAGGACCACCACAAAAGTACTTTTCCTCCTATAGTGGTCCTGTCCCTGAAGAAGGTGGAAGGAGTGCATTGCATATTGCATGCGAAAGAGAGGGTAACAGTGAGGTAAGATCGTGGCATCTGAGGCTCTGTTTACAGGGAGCAGTTCTAAACTAATGTGAAATGGCATAACTTGGCAGTGAAGACATTTCATCCCTCTGTAAGAAGCTGGTTGAGTACTAGGAATAAACCACTTTTCTACTGAATTATTAGTGTTGTACTGATTAAAAATCTTTAATACTTGAGGAAAAAAGAACATTTCTAAAATCTTTGGACTTCTGTTTGACAAGAGAAACTCCTTTAGTTGAGTTTCCATTGGTTAATTGGCCATTAACTTAATCATTCACAAGGCCAAGTTGAAATTGGACAGTCTTAGTTTTGGCACGCACTGATCTCTGTGGATTTGATTTTCTACTATAGTTACATTCTTCTAGTGGATTTGGGATCCATACAGTTGGAGAAAGATATTTGAGAGGAGACCTACTTCTTCAGAAGGAAACCTACACATTTCTTGTGGTGGCAGGATTAATGAGCTTTAATAATCTGGTTGTGAAGAGATTTCATGTATAACACCACTATGCTTGGGGTTCTCAGTCATAAGAAAGTGATATTTATCTAAAATGTCAAAGGTTTATGATGCTCATTTAATAATTATAGTAGTATTATTTAATTTATTAATATTAAAAGTTAACTTTATTATGATCTATTTCTGAACTTTATTATGATCTAATTCTACCTTTTTCCCCTGCACTTTGCCTACAAAGCATGCCAGAGATGTTATCCGCCTCCTTTTATCACATCAGGCAAATCCAAACACATTGTGGAGTGGGCATTCACCACTTTCCTTAGCAATTGCCAGTGGGAATGACTTGGTGAGCATCTTTATATTCCATCATTTTTTGGTGTGTACTTCTCCATTCATGTCTGCCTCCTCTAATGTGCCAGAGATGTTATCCGCCTCCTTTTATCACATCAGGCAAATCCAAACACATTGTGGAGTGGGCATTCACCACTTTCCTTAGCAATTGCCAGTGGGAATGACTTGGTGAGCATCTTTATATTCCATCATTTTTTGGTGTGTACTTCTCCATTCATGTCTGCCTCTACAGCTAAACTACATAGTGATTGGTGCTTGCAATCATACATTTTCAGTGAAAATGATAAAGTTGTTTTTTTTTTCTTTCAAACCTATGGGTGTTTCATGAGCTGAACTAGAGGAGTCCTAAAGGACTATAGCATGAGGTAGCCAGAAATATATATTTGGGTAGGAGTCAGAAGGTACTAGCATTTGGAAAACTGTGTTCATTTTATGAATCACAAGAACATTCAGTTCTCTTAAAGGCTGCCTCCCTGCCTGGAAGCAACCCAGTCGAACACCAAAACGCTTGCTTCTGTGTGTGTAAGGCAAAAGTGTAGCCGCTGATGGTGAGAAGTGTGCTGTTCTGTGAAAAGATTAATGATCAGTCATAGAAAGAATTTGGTTGTAATGAGGCTTAGCAGAGATGAGGCTTATAGTTCACACCGTAGAATTCAGCGTGTGAAGTTAGCAGGCTTCCCAAGCAGGGAATGGCGTCCCTTCTGCCCACACTGGGCCCATAAAAGCAGGTCCACAGCAGTTAGTATGTTGCAAAAGAAGATATGGAGCCAAAGCAGGGGATGAAGCAGATATGTCTGCAGTGCTCTACCTCTCTTTGAATAGATCTCGCTGTGTACAGGATTCTGGCTCATCTTCTCTGTGGAAAGCAAGGCAGGAGAATGATAGGGTGAGCATGGCACCCTGGCTCCCCATGGAGCTTGGCTGTTGTGCAGTCAGTGCACAAGGCCATGGCAAGAACAATTGTAAGGGGGCCAGTGTGACTGATGGTAGCCTAGTGGTTCAGATAAGCTAAAAGAGGCAGGGTTGGAGTGGGATTTCTGCTCTCCTGTTTACTTTTCTCCAGTACAAAAGCACACAAATAATCCAGAGAAGCATTCTCTTGGAAACACAGCCATGAGCAAAGCTAGGGGGAAATCCTTTTTAGTATTTTTGATGAAATCAGCATTCTACCTTTTGGTCTGTCACTACAAAATTTATACTTTATGTAGGATAAATGGTAGAGCATAATAGAAAATATCTGTTGTATGTTGTTGTTCTTTAACTATTTTCCTTTCACTGAAAGGGTGTCAAATACCTATAAGAATAAACTGGATGCAATGGAGCTAGAGTGTAGACTATGGAAGAGGTTATAATAGAAGTGGCTACAACTGCATGCAACATAAAATAGATTCTGTATGAAGTGTTTGAACCTGAACCTTTTCTTTACACAGTCTTCATCATTTTTAAGACAGTTTTGGTATTTTTCTGGGCAAAAATGTTTTCTTGCAACACAAAAATATAAATTTTATGGTTTTGAATGAAATAGAAAGTCCCATATCCAACAACTTCTACTGCTTCTCCCACCTTCTCAGAGGCTAACGTCTGACGAAGTAATGATCTAGTAGGCTGTAAGTGATCAACCTATTTAATCCTTATCTTTGTGGTAAAGCTTTTTTTTTTTTTTTAAATACACTTTATGAATTAGACGAGGTGATTTTTAAAGATAACTTCTCCTGTCTTTGATAATGCTGTTTGGTAAAGTATTCCATGGTGACATTCTGATTCAGGCTAAAAGAAGTGAAAACTACACTAAATTTTTGTGTGCTACAGAAGCTATGAGAAATACCAGTGGATACTCCAAGTGTGCTGTGGTACATGCAGTAAAGCTTTAGGGTCTTGACTGGTCTGGCTAGGGTCTCACTTTTCTCCTGTAGAACTGTCAGTAATGGCTTCTCCAGTCACTAATTTGTCACATTTGCATATGCACATTTGCAGGCAGTGGTTGAACTTCTCAAGCACGGGGCTGACCCAAATCTGCCGTTAAGTGGAGCAGTAACAAGTGCCCTCTGTGCAGCCGTCAATACGGCATATGAACGGCAGAGAACAAAAGCACAGAGAATTGCTTTGGTAAGATAACATTTGTGTGTTTATTGGCTTTTTTAAACTTCAGAAAAGCTGATTTGTCAGGTACATTGTGTCCCCTTTCTCTTTAATGCATAAGCTGATAGTTTTTTTTTCCAGAACAATTAATTTGGTTCTATTCCTTATACTTTGGTTTTGGTTTTGTCCTTTGGTTTTGTCCTGAGGAACAGGGGTTTTGTATGGAAATTAATTTTCATATTTGAGAAAAGAGGATGATAACCTCCTTGTGCAGAAGAGAAAAAACAGTTAAATGGGATGGCTGTGGTGCTCACAGCCCTGTCAAATCTGACTGTTAACCTTGTTTATAAACACAACCAGCATCCACATGAAGAGAGATGTGTTGTGTTTGGTTGTTATTGTAAAGTGGTCGGTACCAACTGTGATGAGTGCACTTTCTCATCTATGATGAAGTTAATGGCAGTGTTTGGCCTTGTGAAAATTGAGTTTTTCTCCTCATCCCAGGGAGCACAGGGATGATCTCATTCAGACTAGAGGTGAGGAAGGCTGCAGCTGAGGGGTCTGGGAGCAGAAGCAATTTCCCCACCTGGGTTCTGTTCTGCCCCCTCCCTCACCAGTGGTTCCCGCTTCATTTATTGATGCAAGATTGTGAGATATTCAGAAACAAATAGCAACTGCCCACAAGAAGGTTTTGCTTACAAAACAAATTTAGATTTGACAATTCATCAGCAGCTCTAAAGGGGCAGAAGAAATGCATGATTCGGGGCACAAAATAGTCTCACAAGTAGAGGTTAAGCTCCGATTCTCTGTCCTGTCTTAGCTGTGGAATGAATGTAATTTTTGGGAAGGTTTTCTTTTCATTTGAATGTGTAATAATTTGCTTTCTTCAGGTTGATAAGCTGCTTGAAGCTGGCGCAGATATCCTTGCACCAGTTATTCTTAGAGAAGGACAAAGAAAAGCTGTGGGAACAGCTGTTGACTATGCCTATTATAAATATTATCAGGTATGACTTCGTTTCCCATATCTGAAAGTACTGTACATTTACATCCATTCAAATGCATGGCCTGTTCTGTCCTTATTAATTGTATAGAGCCTTCTTCAAAAACTTTAATGGACATTTGCTTTTTCCCTTCATTTGTTGTTCAGCACCAAATGAAACATGAATCACTTAAAATCTGAATACCTCTAATAGTTTAGCCTGTGAAGGCAATCCTTGCTGTCATATATTATAGTAAGATACCATTCATAATCGGATTGGAAAGAGTTAATCTTAAACCCAGGAATCTAAACCCCAAAGTAATATGTGTTTCCATGAGGCTACAGACAAATGAGAAGTTATTATGGGTTATGTATAATGGTAATTTTGGATGTGTTGTAAGCTATGATAGGACATTATTGATCAAACTTTAAACGTATGGATTTCCTAAATAAAATATATACTTAAGTAACATTAAAAAATTAAAATAAATTAAAATAATTATTATATGTTAATTTAAATAACTAAAATATATATTTATTAAAACATAAATGGATTTACTAAAGTCATCCTTAATCATGTATTAATCCCCTAGAAAAATAATCTTACTGTGAAATATAACTAATAAATTTCTACCTGATGCTTTTTTTCTGGATATATTTGTTTAAAAAAAAATTTTAAAGTTATGTGACAGTCCTGATTAGAACTAACATAAGATTTAAAATGAGAGCTAGCGTAAGATTTTTTTTTTACAGCTTTCTTATTAACAAGAAAGCTGACGTGATAAGTAGATTGGTTGCCTCTGTAAACAGTAGTTGTTCTGAAAAGAACAAAAGTAATAGTTCACCTTGTTCACAGAGCAGCCTGCTTAGATCTAACAAGGGTTTTTGCATCCAACACCAGTGTTGTATGTAGACGTTAAATTATTATTTCTTTGCTTGCAATCACAGCTGATCCTCAAACAGGGAAATAAATTAAGCAATTTATAGCTGTAATGACAGGTCCAACTTGATCACCATATTCCAGGTACATTATTTTACTGCCTTGCTCTGGACTTCTGTCTATACTTTCCTTGCTGGCACTTGCTACAGGGAAGCAATATGGGGGATTGAGGAATGTACTAGTGAACAAAGAGTGCCCTCTAGCTGACCTCTAGCTTTCATTTCCAAGAAACTTATTGATGCTTGCAGAAGTGCTGGGAGAGGAGCTTTGCAAGATGTCGGCAGCTTCCTACTGCAGAACCTGGGGGTCAGGGCAACCTCCAGTATCAGCACAGGCTGGTGATGAAGGGACGGAGAGCAGCCCTGCCAAGAAGGACTTGGGGGATGTTGGTGGATGAGAAGCTCAACACACCCCAGCAACAGACGCTGTCAGCCCAGAAAGCCCCCCACATCCTGGGCTGCATCCCAGGGGGGGAATCTGTCCCTCTGCTCTGCGGAGACACCCCCCAGTGCTGCCTCCAGCTCTGGGGCCACCAACATCAGAAGGATATGGACGTGTTGGAGCGGGGCCAGAGGAGGCCACGGAGATGGTGGGAGGGCTGGAGCCCCTCTGTTGTGAGGACAGGCTGAGAGAGTTGGGGGGGTTCAGCCTGGAGTAGAGAAGGCTCCGGGGAGACCTTATTGCAGCCTTTCAAGTACCTCAAGGGGGCTACAGGAAAGATGGGGACGGACTTTTTAGCAGGGCTTGTTGCAATAGGGGAATGAGGAATATTTTAAAGAGGGACAATTTAGACTAGTTATAAGGAAGAAATGTTTTACTCTGAGGGTGGTGAGACCCTGGCCCAAGTTGCCCAGAGAGGTGGCAGATGCACCATCCCTGGACACATTCACGGTCAGGTTGGACAGGGCTCTGAGCAACCTGGTCTAATTGAAGATGTCCCTGCCATGGCAGGGGGTTGGACTAGATAGCCTTTAAAGGTCCCTTCTAGCCCAAACTATTCTGTCATTCTATGATTCCCCTTTGAAGAAACAGGTGAAAATTGTTTTAGTTAACTTGTTGAGCATGCACCAACCTGGAGATGTCCTGTGTCTCATATCACAGGCTGAGCTCCAAGTTAGGATGCAGCAGGGACAATGCTGTACTTTTGGAATGGGTTGGCTTTAACTCTGAAACACTTGTGTGTTTGTGTTTGCATATATTAGTGAATTAATTCATGGTATGTTGCAGGATATGAGAATTGCTCACACACCATACCACATACTGTCAGCATCTGAGCAGGAACTTTTTCAAACACGCCAATCACTGCTGGAACACATTACAGCGAAACTCCGTGAATGTGTCATCCTGAAAGAGAAAGAGTGGGATCAAGAAGAGCTGAGAAGATCCAAGAAGTGTTAGTTCAAGCCTAAGAGTAGTTCAGGACTAAGGGTAGCATCACCTAGTGTGAAGGGGAATTTTTTGTTATAATTCCAGCGTTACTGTCTGAAAGAATAACTCCTAATAAAAGCTGCTCCTCCATATTTGGTAAGGAGATGTAGGGGTTCTACAAACATTAAAGAGAATGGACAAGGCATTGTGAAGAAAATCTGGATATGAGTTTACTGCCTGTCAGCTGCTTCCTGGTAAATCCTTGTACACGATCTGTTACCATATGCTAAGGAGTGATTGAGGGAACTTTGAAAGCTCCTCTTTCATGGGAGAACCTTGGAATTGCTTCGAATGTAGTGCAGGAACAGGCTGCATGCAATGGTGGACTGTGGACATTTAGCATATTTTCATTCCTTATGGCAACTTACTCTCAGATCTTTTCTTAAGACTCCCATCATATCAGTGCCCTTCTGCTATTAGAGTGTCAACAATGAACAAATAAAGATGATTTGAGTTGTATCCTCAGTAGTGCTCAAACGTGATAAAATCAGGCTTAGAATGTAGGTCTCCGAATAGCGGTCTTTGGGGCAGAAGATGTATCACACTTGTGAAGTGAGTGCTGAACATAAGATTGTTACCTTTGCAGTTCAGCATAACCTGTGACTCCGTGGCTCGTCACAAGCAGGAAGTAAGAGTAAATTATCTGTGTGGCTTCTTCCTTTGGCTGTGACATAGCAATTTGGCTCCTTTTTAATTTGCTTCTGCAGCTTGTTGGTAGAAGATGCATTTTATTATGTATCTTCAAATTTTATATACACAGAGCCAAGCAAACTTTTAATGAAGGTGGATTTTGTGAATAGTATTCTAATTCTCAAGTCAGAATACTGATTTTTGTTTTCCCCTGTGCCCCCTTTTGTTCGTGTAGTGGATTCAGCTGTTCATACACGTGTTTCAAAGAAGAGAGGAGGGACCCATCACGTGGAAGAAGTGAGGTAGGGCAGAGATACTGCACTCAAGTATCAACTTTTTTTGTAAAAAATACTGTGCCCTGTTTTTTTTCAAAACTATTGTCACCCTGCCATTTTTCTCCTTTCTAATTTTTCTCTCTATCCAGAATTACCAGCTGTAGTTAGCTTCTTTCTCTGCTCTGATCACATCACTCCTTTTCAGCTTCAGACTTTGCCACAAGAGTCTGTATTATATTCAGTTTTCTTGCGGGAAGCAGTGTGTCCTTGCATTTTAAACCAATTAATGGCAATTAATTAAGAGTAGTGTGCAAATGCTAAGAAATAGGCCCATACAAATTGGTAATTTGCATTTCTCCAGAAATTGCAGGAACAACTTGTAGAATGTGAATTATATTCTTGGAACAATTAGCAAAATTTTGGATAATAATGGAAATACTTGCCTCAAGGATACTGAATTCTGTCATCAGTTTCTCATACTGCAGGGAATTCACAGGCTGTGGAACTTTGTCTCAGTATTGGAATCAAGTAACAGAGAAAATAACAGAGGTGTCAGGAACTGGGGTGCTTTTGAAGACAGAAATTTTGAGGTAGCATTTTTGTTCAACCAAGATGAATCAATAATAGCATAAGATACAGAAATAACCAGAAGAACGTAGAGTGGACTAAAATAAAATCCAGAAGTTTAAAGTAGCCCACAAAGATTTTACAAATAGATCTTAGTGATGACTTGCAGAGACAGATGAAACTTCAGTGAAACTTGCTAGCTATTAGGACAGAATTCTTAAATATTTTAAAAAGGATGTAAATACAGCCCAGCTTGCTGTTGGATTCTGCTCCCCAGTCCCACTGAAAGCCTTGGCCCAAGCACTCTTTATGTTCCAACTTTGGAGTAACTGTGGTGCATGGCCTGTGAGTGTCCCTGTGTCTCTGCGGTATTCCAGTGGGTTCTGTGAGGGGTTTTTAAAGTTTGCCAGCTTGGCTTTGTTATCCCTGGCCGTACATAATCTGGTGTGCCTGCCAGTTTGAGAAGGGACATCTCCAGACCCAGTGTCATGAGAACACCAAAGCACACAGCATGTGGCAGGATGCAGATGTTGGTTTGGTAAAGACTTGGGCATTTCTCACTAGGACACTTGGCTTTTCTGAGGGCTGTTTCTGGGGGCTGGCATGCAGCCAGCGTGCAGTCTGTTCCCCACAGACGCCTGTGATAAGCTACAGTTGCCTGTTTCTTTATTGTTGAACATTATTGTTGAACATTATTTCTATATTGTAGCTATTTTGATTTAGTTTTACTGTGATCTGCAAACATGCTGCCAGCTTGAGGAAAACCCTAAACAAACAATAATGTGCTTTCATTTTACAACTACATTTGTTCTAGATTACCATTCTTTAAGTACTGCTATCAGTGTGGACGTTCAGTTAATGTTCAGCTGTCACCTTGCATGCGTTGCTATCAAGTCTTCACTTGCAGCGCGACTTGCAGAAGGAAATCCTGGAACGAGCGGCACAGGCAGGAGTGCTTGGCGTTGCGGGGTAAGTCTGACTAGGTGAGTACAGTGGTTTGTGCATGTGTACTGGCATGGGTGTGTCTTCCTTGTAATGGACCAGTAAAATGTGTTTAATGAAGGAATTTAATTAAAAAGGTTCAGTTCACTCACTTGAATAGCTGTGTTTTTTGTAAACCCACCAGCTTTAAGAGAGCTACTACTGTGCTGTTACTCTCAGTTTCAAGAGAGAAGAATCTTTAAGGTGAACACAGAGCAAAGGAAATACTTTTGCTAAGACTAAGGTTAACTACTATGGACATCAGTAGACAGCTTTCCAGGCTGAAGGACCACAATAGATCTAATAAGCTAGGCAGAGTGGAGCTTTCCGTACAAACTCTACCTCTTAATCACCTCTATCTTTATATTAGAAGAGAAATCAATGAGATTTCTGACTTCTGTGCATGGAATTGTTGATATCACACTACTGTGGTTCTTGGAAGCCATACTTGCGCTTGTGCCACATTACACACACCACATGCTGCACAGCAGTAGAAGACTACCGTGGTAGAAATTATAGTATTTTAATTATATCAGATGCTCACTTAGATTTCATGAGAAATCTGGCAAATGTGAAGATGGATACAGAACTGCTGTATCCACAGAAGTTCTGTGATTGATCTGTCTTTTAGTGACTGCCTGAGATGGGACTTGTTAAATCTCAATACAAGTAAAACCCTCTGTGTTGGGGATAGTGGGCTCTGTCCCACTGGAGGTAAGATATTAAACACACATGGGCTCTGAAAAGAATCAAATTAATAGAATAGAGTAGAATAGAACATCAAACTACAAGGACAAATGGTGGGTAATGTGGCAGGTGTTACACTGGAGGACTTAAACATGAAGAAAAATTACATTCATTTAGAAAACAGAATTTTACTACATTGTCTTTAAAAATGTAATGTATTACAGATACAGTTGTGTGATACTAGAACGTTAACTAATAATTATGTAAGTTACTGCTTCTTCTTGTGTCATACATTACCTGTATGGCAAATTCCAAATTTCATTCAATTCAGATTCAGTAAATTCAGTTCAGAACAATTCTGAATATCTTCCTGTAGACTGACTTTTCCTCAGCAATAAACAAGCTTCTTTTTAAGTACTGAATTTTGAGGTAGAAAGGTTTTTGTTTGTTCCTTTGTTTTGTTTCTTTTTTTTTTTTCTCTCCCATGATTGTCCTTAATTTAAAATGACCTGAAATACCCTAACTCAGACCAGTTTGAGCAATTCAGTCTGTTGCCCTGGGAGTCTCTGATGCCTTCCACCCCATTTCCTGATTCCTGTGCTTTTCACTGTAGGGAAATGTGATTAGGATTTATTTTGTACCTTTTGAGCAAACCTCTCAATGTTTAACTGAGTCCTGAAGTCAGTATTAATTGCACAGTTAATACATTTTCAGATATGTTTACTAGAAGAAACCAGTATCGTTTGCACTCCCATATGTGGTCATTGTTTGCTAGGAAGTTCATAGGTAAGTGAGTAGGTAGCCACAGCTACCTGAGAGCCGTGTCTGTTAACATCACATTTCATAAGCTGTGCCAAAACAGGAGCTTCCTTGAGCCTTGTATCTGTTTCCAGTTTATTGTTCTAGAGAAACTAAAGGTCACCCAAAGAAATATGGATATGGGTTTTTTCTTTCTTCTCTTTTTTTTTTTTTTCAGAGAAGAGTACAGGTCAAGCAGCTCAGTGCGCAAGCAGTGCAGGATGTGAAAAGAATGTCACTTGCAAAAAAGGGAAAAATGGAAAAGAAGAAAAAGATGAAAGGAGAGGTGGAAGAAAGAGTAAAGTTGGAATTGGTGGAAGACAGCATCACAGGAAGAATGACTGACTCGTTTCAAATCACTCCTACTGTTGTGTGGACAAGTTTTAATGCCACTGTACTTTCTGCCTTGTACTCCACTTCTACTAAGGCTGTTGTTGACGTGTTTTAAGAAACTAAAGACAGAACATTCTAAGATACTGCCTATGAGCTCAAGGATGACAATACCATCAAAACCCAGTGTGTGTGTCTATACAAGTTATATATTTAAATAAAAGCTTGCAATTTGAATTAATGATCTTCAGATCGGTTTTAATGGTCTAATGGTATATATGTGTGTATATAAATGCATGTAAACCAATATTGCCCATTACTAAACTTCATTACAAATATTCCCTCCTAAGGGGAACAGGAGGCCCATTTGGCAAACAGACTTGCTCTCTACAGAGGTTTGTTGCTTCATGGGGGGCTTAGATCTGGGATCCTGGGGAGACTGTTCAGCCCTTAGAACTCTTTGATGTTAGCCCACAGGGGCACTGACAACCTTGCCAGGACAGTCTCTGAGCATATCAAGAGTGAGTATATGGCTAAGGGTGAAGGTTAAGATCAGGAGAGCCCAGCTGATTTTTTCACTGATCTCCTGCCGAAGTGGAAAGGCTTAAGGAGGAGGGGATGGCTCTTGAGGTTGAGCACCTTGTTGTGCAGCTGTGTCACTGACAATGATTTGACTTCTGTCCCAGTTTGAGCTAAAACAGAACCAACTTTCTGTTCAGTAATTTTACTTCTTAGCTAGGCCTCTTCTAACTCTCTGAAATGAACAGCATATTGTGGAGAAAACTGTTCGCTTTTAGAGTGATAAGACCAATGTATGTACTTCATGCCAAAGAACATATGCAGAGAGGCACTTGCTTATACTTATTGCTATAACAACTGAGGCCAGCTAATTTTGTTATTTGCCCCATTGGAGGGTCAGAGATGGAAAAGTGTAGAGGGGTCCCACCTGCAGGGGGGAGCGGACATGAGAGGTGACCCAAAACTGACCAACACGGTCTTCCATCCCATCTGCCCCGTGCTCTATCAATCCACCTGACAAAGTGGGGTAAAAAAACCCCATCTTTTCTAACAGGCTGGTCAACCTGAGGAGATTAGGAATAGGATAGGAGGGAGGTGATGACACACATTCAAGTGAAGAAGTGGTGGACTGGGCTGGCAAGCAAAAGTGCAGAGTGGTGTGGTTAAGAGCCCTCAAGATCAACAGAACAGAGCAGAATGGGGCCCACCCACAAATAAGAAAGTGCTGAGAAGACATCATGAGGGAAGTTCTCATCTTTTCTTAGGACACCAACATGACTGTGTTGCACCTTTCTGAAGTACCTGTACACTTAATGCCCTAAGTATGAGGAGCAAACAGAAGGAAATAGAAGTTTGCACACCATTAAAGGGCTACAATCTCATTGAGATCACAGAGATGTGGTGGAAAAGCTCACATGATAGGAGTGCTGCGATGGATGGATACAAACTTTAGGAAGGACAGGCTGAGAAGGTGATGAGCTGGAGTTGCCCTTTATGTGAGAGCAGCTGGAATCCATGGAGCTCTGCCTTGGGGTGAACAATGAGCCTGTTGAGAGTTTATGGGTCAGGATTAGTGGGCAGACCGACATAGGTGATATGAGGGGGGTATCTTTACTGTCTGCTTGATCAGGAAGAAGTAGATGAGGTCTTCCTCAAACAGCTGGAAGAAACCTCATGCTTATAGGCCCCACTCCTCATGGCGGACTTTAACCACCCTGGTATCTTATAGAGGGACAATAGAGCAGAGCACAAACAACCCAGGACACTTCTGGAGTACGCTCGTGACAGCTTCCTAGCACTGGTGACTGAGGAGCCAATCAAGGGAGGTGCTCTGCTCAACCTGATGCTTAGAAAGGAAAAACTGGTTAACTGGTTTGCTGACATCCATTCTGGATGGTTGAATTGACTGACTAGTCCAACTCCAAGCACCTTGGGTGGGTGATTATAAATGAAACCAGCAGAAATACTACATTTGTCTCTTTCCATTGTCTCTTTCTATTGAGTGTAAATCATTAATGTACCTACTGATGTAGCCTCCCTATGTTAGTGGTGGGTTTGTGTTCCCTAGTATTCCATGGTAGTAGCCTGAGGCACCTTCAGTTCCTTTTTTCAGCTCCCTGACTCACGGGTAAAGAACGCTGGCTTGCAGGTGGCTGCCGTGAGGTGAGAGAGGAGGCTCCACAGGCAGCTGTCCAGAGAAGGAAACCCATAAGGCCACACTTTGCCATATGATGTTGTGTGAAGACTGTCATGTTATGGATTAAGTAGCCATCTCCAGAGTCATATGAGCTGGACTATTTGAGGCCAGAGCCTTTCCAAGTTTGGAGCATCTTTATGAAGCAGGACTTAAGCTTTCATGTCTGCCTGTATGGAGAAGCCATGTGGCTTCCTAGAGAGAACTCCACAGGAAAGCAAGCAGCTGTGTCCATCTGTGCTCCCTTTAATTCCCATGAGAAACTGATGGTTTTTTCTATTTTCTCTCCTAGGGCACAGAATGGGCTGAGGGGAGGGAGCCTTTCAATCCCCACAGTGGGGATAGCAGGGTGACACAGCCTCCACCCAAGCAACTCAGCAGTGGTCAGAAAGCTGCTTTGAACTCAGCTTCTGAGGAAGGCACAAGGAGAAGAAGCCTCTCCCCCACTGTCCACAGTACTTCCTGCACCACTGCAGTCTGCAGTCACCACTCTTCCCATCCCCAAGGCAAAAGACAAGCAAAGAGCTGGAGCTTCCCCTGAACCACGAAGACCATGGCTACATCAGATGTGGCATTATGCTGTGGGGCAGCTGTCCCTCAGACCAGGGAGTGTAGATAGTCCCTACCTTCACCATGTTAGAGTCAAAAATAATTAATTCTGCATATAGTAATTACTGATTCCTACTATCTATATAAAAACTGGTGTTGTTCCATGCAAAAAAAAAGGAAAAATAGAGACAAATTAGGCATAGCTACCAGCCAGAAAGAAAAAAAAAAGATCAGCAATACAGCCACACCCAGTAAAAACAACACTCCAGGAAGGTGAAGACAAGTTCAGGTAGAATGAGCCTGACCAGCCTGAGGCCCTGCAAGGTCAGTTCAAAACCTGTAACCCATTATTAGCAACGTCACTACTGTATCACTGGGCCACAGGGCTACAGCTGACACCAACCCATCCATCCACTACAGCCCAGGCGGTAGCAGAGGTAGTCAGGGCCAGGCCTGACCTGAGCGCTGGCCATGGCTGCAAGGGATGCAGATTTTACAACTGCTAAGCACCCCGACTCTGCTCTCTGGTTCTCCCCACTCAGTCACCCACAGCCAAAACACCATGAGCAGCGATCCTTGTGAGCACACGCAGTCACAGTGGGAAATGCAAGAATGTAATGAGAGCACCACACACGTGGACAGACAGACATGCGGGTGAAAGTTTTCCCCAGAGCTATGAGGATATAGCCCACCCCAAACAGAAGCTCCCAGGATCCATAATCCCCTTATTTCTGCAGGCTTTGGGCAAATCCCATGAAATATCACCATAAAATTACAAGGGCTAGCAACACAAAGCATATATGAAAGCTGTGATTTTGGTCTGATACTCACAACCTTGCCCTTTTGCCTGGAGAAGCACAAGTGCCACCCACGTCACGATCTTGGCTGTGGTCCCAGCATTGCTGAGCTCTGCGAGTGATCAGAGAGCAAGTACTGAGCAGCATTTCATGTGCACACCACATCACAGCGATATCCACGCCAGAGTTCCTCTTAAAAGACATTGATTCCAGGCTCTCTCCCATTAAGTTCATCACAGCTTGGATTTCCAGTTGGCCTTTCCCCCCTCTTCAGAACTGAGATGGGACTTGCTCATTTCAGCCTTTCCTCACTTCCTCTCTCTGGTTTTACTGGCTTAGACTTTCATCTTGCTTTGATACATTCTGTTAGTTGCTCTGTTAAGCTTTTCACCCCCCTTCCTTCCTCTGGCAGAAGGTGACTGAAAAGTGAACTGATCTCCCATCTCTAAAAGTCATTAGGAAAGGCCTTGAAAAACAAATTATAGGTCTCCCAAAAAACCCCCACCACTGATTCCTTCTTGCTCCTGTCCTGGCTACTTTGGCTCCATCGCTCCTGATTTTATAGAAAAAAATACATTATTCTCAACTCTGCAAGACATTACCAAGGAAGTAGTTCTCAAATTGTTGCATGCAGCAGTTGAAGATGGAACCCACCTCTCTAGTGAACCCAGGAACCTGTGATTCATAGAATCAGAGAGTGGTTTGTGTTGAAAGGGACATTAAAGATCATCTAGTTCAACTCCTTGCCATGGGCAAGGTCATCTTGGACTAGATCAGGCCGTTCAAAGCCCTGTCCAATCCGACCTTGAACACCTCCAGGGATGGGGCAGCCACAGCTGCTCTGGGCAACCTGTAGTGTCTCAAAGGAAAGGCCAAGCCAAAGCCCATGCCTACCTCTGTGCCACATCCAGTCCTTCAGTGGCACACTTAAGGCCAAGGCCAGACCTCCAATGGAGAAACCTCCACCCAGACCAAATTATGAACCACCTCCAGGGTGTGAGCTTCATCCTCAAGAAAACAAATCAAAGACGGTAAAAGAAACCCTCCAGTTTCCCAGGTATCTTTCTTTTTTTCCAGCTTAACCAAAAATTGCATCTATGCAGTAATCTAATATAGCCGTTGTGGTTTTTGTTATCCCATCAGGCTTTGTGCAGTGTCCAATTCTACAGTGATTTTGCAAAGCTGGCTTCAGAGTCAGACCTTGCTTCCTTGCTAGTGAGCTCCCACCAGCATAATGTTGTCTCAAAAGCCAGATACTTTTAGCTTTCTCTTTCCTTTTTCAGTACTTACATAGTGGCCAGTATGCCTTTCAGTGCAGTAGTGACACACAAGCATTGCTGCTCTCATTTTTAGACTAGTTAGTATGCTGTATTTCTTTTAATATTTTGTATTTGTAGTGCTTAGGTTTTGGGTGGGGATTTTCTTGGTATTTAGAACTTATTTTTCAGTATTACGTATCAGTATTTAGCATTTGCCTCCTGCTGAGAGCAGCTGTATCACATCCAAACTCCAGCACTACATATCTGGAGGGAATGACACTATTTAGACATAGGCACATACAGGGAAACATCTCAAGAAAATAGACATTATAACATGTTTATGGAGATTACAAGGGCACAGAGTTTTTAAAAGATGCACAGCTGTTCAGTAAGATTTTCAGAATTATATGCATGCTTAACAGCCACTGAAACAGGTCTTCAGACTTCCTGAAAATCCATTAGGCACAAAGATATGGCAGAAGCCTGCCCCAAAGAATGTAGCATGTGTTCTATCTCGACCTTCTTATCCTGAAAAGCAAGTCAAACAAAACATTAGTCAGCAAATGACAATCCTTCCACACTGTAACTTCTGCAAAGCAGACACTGTTAATCGACGACGTGCTGTTTCCAGCTGAAGAAGCCCAAACCTACCCCCTGGCCTTCAGATCACACAGTCTCAGCATAGGCAGAGTTTAGCCTGATTCCAATTTGGGCAAATGTGAAGAGGAACCATGCAATCAATGAAAACATACCAAGAGTGGGTCTTTATGTTTAGAAAACTATGTGATGTCGAATCCAAAGGGAAGTAACATACAAAATTTTCAGCAGTTTTTTACATATTCTCCTTTGGTACATGGAGATTTGGATACTTTGGATTTCTTGGAACTTCCTCCCTAAAAGGCTGCGTGTGAGAAAAAATAAGTGTGGATTAGACAAGCTTTTTAGATGTCCACAGGAGATTATGGAGTTTCTTGCAGAAAATGCAGGCAGATGCATGTAATTCACTGGATTTACATCTGTTCGTGTGTTTGAATGGGAAAAAAAGATTCCTCTGGTAACTAGCATGATAGAATTAAGCGAAACTCTCATTAGGTAGCATATCCTCTCCTCTGCCTGAGATCATGGCGTACCTCCAGAAGCCCATGACATTCTGCAGGAAAAGGCAGAGAACTCACCAAAACAGGCTACTGTTGACCTTCTAGGACAAACAAAATCTTCAACAAAACTGAGGCTTGCAAATGATAACCAGAGCTAATTACCTGCTTCACCAAATGCTCCAGCAGATCACCTGGGTGAGGCACTCCTCACTTTCCTTAGAAAGTGGTAGGAATAAGTCATTCTGCGCAATACCAAGTGGGGGCGTCACAGTATACTGCTGTGTTTTGGGTTCCTGGATAAAGTCTGACCAGGTTTAGAAAGGTGACCTTACAAAGGCCCTCTTTGTTCTTAAAATTGCATTTCAAAGTGGCTTTGAGAGAAGACATCAATCATGTCACCCAATGCCTTGGCCATTGTTTTTGCTTCCTGCATTGTCCTGAGTCCTTTATCCAGCATGAAATGGGCATACTGTAGAGAGCCAGCATGAAACACAAAAGGAATTCAGCAGTAAAGATCAAAGAGGCTGGAGAAAACTTATTAGAGAAAATGTTTTTAGGTCAAAATTTAAGAATTATCACTATTGAGACAACCTGAAAGAAAAATCCACATGCAGCAGGAGGTACTTCCCATGCAAACAGCATGATTGGATCTGTTCAGTTCCTGCAGCCACTACTTCAAATTCCCAGTAACAGCGTGAATAGGGTAGTTCTCCAGATTTACTAAGTTCGGATCTTTTGGAGATCATTGAAAACAGCTGAATCCTTTCATGTATACAAGATGCTCCCACAGAAAGAAAAGCTGTCAGATGCTGACAAAATGGCAGAGCACAGGAGTGAATATGGACAGCATGCAGAGAAGGACAACAGTAGACACTGATGCCTAAAAGGTTTTTGGTTTTGGTTTTGGAATTATTTTTTTTTTAACAGCAAGTGTTTCAGCTGCTTCATGCAATTTCCTGATCCTAATTTCATGTGTATCTCCACCTGTTCTAACAGCTTTCCAGGATAACAGGGACTGCATTTGTCTCGCTAGTCAGGGAACTTGGGTATGTTCCAATGTGATGTGACTTTGCATCCTGCTCATTCTGGAATTGATACAGCACAGCAGTATGTGAATACTTGTTCCCAGGATAGGAAATACACTTATCTTTCACACTACAAGCAATTTAGACTTCCAGAAGCAAAAGCTGGATATACTCTTCCAGATTGCTACAGGCTTTTAATTCTAAGACATACTCTTGGATCCACAGCAGTATGCAGTTCTGCACTGTACATTAATGTCTACCGGTTCATATAACACAACACTCACATTTTCTGAAGGTGGGATTTCCAGACAAGCTTGCTAGAGAACCATCTCTATAGAAAAGCGTCCTGTATTTCTGTAGAAAGAGCAGGGGACTTAATTACTGTGCACATGTTCATTCCCCATTTTCTCACCAACAAGAGCAGATTTTGCTTTGCACATCTCACTGGTGCTATCCCACTACAGGGTTCCAACTCTACAAGTGGAAGTCTCTTGTTTCCAGTTGATGTGCAGCTCCACTGAATTTTGGCTACATGCTTTTGTGTCATGGCAACCTGCATTTAGGAAAGGGAACCAATGTTAACAAGTAGTTCAAATCACATGCAAATACCAAGTTTCCTGTCTTGCTTCCTACATATCACAGAATCACAGATTTGACAGAGTTGGAAGGGACCTCTAGAGATCTAGATTTAGTCCAACCCCCCTGCTAAAACAGGATTGCCCAGAGCACACCACTCAGGACTGCATCAAGGTGAGTCTTGAAAATCTCCAGAGAAGGGGACTCCACGACCTCCCTGGGCAGCCTGTTCAGTGCTCTTTCACCCTCACCGGAAAGAAGTTCTTCCTCATATTTGAGTGGAACTTCCCGTGTTCCAGTTTATGCCCGGTGCCCCTTGGAAACCACTGGAAAGAGTCCGGCTCCATCATCCTGCAACCCACCCTTTAGACACTTGTCAGCATTGATAAGGTCTCCTCTCAGCCTTCTCTTCTCCAGGCTAAAGAGTCCCAGCTCTCTCAGCCTTTCCTCACCAGGGAGATCCTCCAATCCCTCCATCACCTTGGTTGCCCTACGCTGGACTCTCTCCAGTAGTCCCCTGTCCCTCTTGAACTGGGAAGCCCAGAACTGGATGCAGGATTCCAGTTGTGGCCTCACCAGTGCAGAGTAGAGGGAGAGAATGACCTCCCTTGACCTGCTGGCCACACTTCTCCCTACGCAGCCCAGGATTCCACTGGCCCTCTTGGCCACAAGGGCACATTGCAGCTCATGGAGAGCCTGCCATCCACCAGGACTCCCAGATCCCTTTCCTCAGTAGTACTTCCCAGAAAATCCACCCCTAACCTATATTGGTGCCTGCGGTTCTTTCTCCCCAGGTGCAGGACCTGACACTTGCCCTTGTTGAACCTCATTAAGTTCTTCCCTGCCCAGCTCTCCAGCCTGTTCAAGTCATGCTGGATGGTGGCACAGCTCTCTGGAGTGTCGGCCAGCCCTCCCAGTTTGCTATCATCAGTGAACTTGCTGAGGATACACTGTGTCCCCTCATCCAGGTCATTGATGGATATGTTGAACTTGATGTATTGATGTATGAATATCCTGCATTTCCCATTCACTAAGTCCCATCTGTACCAGCTAAAGCTGCAAGGAGAGTGCATGTTTTGTGGCAGGAAGGAAGTAGTTCTCAGTGAACTTGCTGAGGATACACTGTGTCCCCTCATCCAGGTCATTGATGGATATGTTGAACTTGATGTATTGATGTATGAATATCCTGCATTTCCCATTCACTAAGTCCCATCTGTACCAGCTAAAGCTGCAAGGAGAGTGCATGTTTTGTGGCAGGAAGGAAGCACTTACCACTGCAGAAACAGACCTTCTACATGAACCAGGTGGGAACACTCCTATGACAGCCAAATGCTGGCTGGAAGTCAATTGGAAGTATGTGAACCTGTGCTCTGCAGTATGGTACGAGACAGAGAGAATTTAATGGATACTTCTTTAAAGATCTTAAATAACCTGTACCCTGCCTCACAATCCAGCACCTAAAACAAGGGGTTTTGTTGAATGAGGTAAGCCCAGCCCCACGGGTACCAGTAGCCTCCAGAGAACGTGTGGTAAAAATATGTAAATAGAAAAGATGAAAACATGTAGTGAATGTATGGAGAATGTATACCCAGCCAGAGCTTCTGGTCTTTCACCAGAGGGTGCACACCAACCAGCACCTCAGACCCAGAAATGGGGTGCCTCTAACATTTTCTCCCCCTGACATTTGGAAATATTTTTCTGGAGAATTAATGGCCCTTCATCAACTCTGTCACCCCATTTACCCTATACCTCTACCCTATTACAACTCCCACGCTCTCCAGACCAGCATAGCTTCCTGTGGTTCTCAAAACTGAAGAGCAGGACACCCCACTGGCTTTTGCAGACTGTGAAACCACAGCATCCTGCCCATGTCTGACTTTTCTTCATCTACTCCGAAGGAAGCAGGTAACTCCCTCCTAGCCCCTGGGCGGTTGCACCATCGGTATCAGCTTGGCCACTCCCAGCGAGGGCCTCTCTGATTGGTCACTGCTTTCCCCACCTTGCAGCAAAGTCTCTTCCCATTGGCCCCCCGTGGCTCCAGCCTGGAGCACGGCAGCCATGGGCAGCACAGCAGGGCCGGGGAAGGTGAGGGGGTAATGGCCACCGGGTGGGACGGTCACCCTGGCAGCCGTGGGGGGTGCAGTACTGTCCTGGGCCACAGAGCCTCTGGCGATTCTTGAGTAGTAGTAGGATTCATCGTGGGTATGACATCACGAGCACTGGTGACATCACTGGAGATGTCCCAAATAGCCTCCCTATGGTTCACCACACAGCAAACACTAATTACTAACTAGTAATAATCATCAGTACTTTTGCCACTGCCGTGAAGCTATCAGTGCCCATGGCATAATAGGAATTGTGACATCACCATTGTTTTTTACAACATATAGGTGACAGGCGAGTCACGTTGCCAACAGCTGTGACAGAAGCAGTGACACAGTACTGATTAACCTGCGCTTTGTCACGTCAGGGCTTTTACAGGGGCATCAGTGATGTTACAGGTATAAATGACATTATACGCAACAGTATCATGAACAGTGTCGGAAAACGGGCCAAAGTCATTACTAGTGATGATGTCTTTGTCAATGGTGTCATTCATATCAGTGGCACCAGTGCTGGTAACATTATGAGTAGCAGTGATATTATCAACAACCACAGGGAGAGACAGTCCTGCTGGGGCTGGGAACACCTCTGCCCCAGGGCTGGCAACAGCAGCTTGGAGGCACCCAGTCTCTGTTCCTGACTATGGGAGCAGTGGTGGTATTGCTGGGGAGGTCGGGGACGCACCTATCCCTGGGGCTGTGACAGCAATGGCCCCAGCAGTTGGATTGCAGACACACTATCCCTGATCCTAGGTGGGGCTGGTGCTGGCCCTGCAAGGGGTGGTGCTGGGGACAGCCTTGTTCCTGGACGTGGTGAAGGGCAGTGGCCCTGCCAGTGCTCACAGCCTTACCTTTTCTGTCCCAGCCCCGGTGCCATGAAACCGAGATCTGTGTGTGGTGAGTATATCCCCAAGCCTGTTCTGAAATGTCCCCAGCCACTTCCCAGGTCTTCTCTTTACCCCATTCTCAAATGTCCCCAGTTGTCCCTGCATCCTTCCTGTCCCTTGTTTTGCCCTCCAGGATTCCCCAGGTCCTTGTGTTCACAACTACCTAGCTGGGTCCCCTCATGCCTTCATCCCCTCATGCCTCTTGCTCCCACCAGAACCCACTGTCCCTGTCTTCTCCCATGTCCCCATCTCCTCCTCCCCCACATACCTCGGTATAGGCCTTTCCCTGCAGGAAGGATCTGGATGTGGTGGCTATGGAGCGACTTCAGACAGCCCCAACCCTCCAGGATCGATGGCTGTAAGTGAGGGGACAGGTTGCCCAAAGTGCTTTGCACACCTGGGACCACCCGAAACACCGTGGGACCACCCAAAACATCCTGAGACTGCCCTGGCATACTTGAGATCCCAGGGGAAAACCTTAGGAGTCCTAGGACACCCTGTAGGCTCAACCACCTGGACACCCTCAGAGCACTCTGGAGACACTATGGGATGATTCTGGGGAACCTAGAACCCCTTAAGGTACACAGGGAACATTCTAGGACATTGTGGGGACTCCAGGACTTCTTGGTACAACCCCAGAACATTTTTGGGAACAGAGATGGCACTCTACGGACCTGAGGAATGCCTCTGGGCACACCCCACCCCTCCACACCCCAAAACTTAGGACACTCTGAGACACCCATGATACCCCTGAGACCCTCATGGGACCACTGGGTCCCTACCTGAGGACCCCCGGGGAAACCACTGAGACACCCGGAAGGTCATTCACTCCCCACACCCCAGTATTCCCCTAGTCTACATGTCTTCTCCATAGTATCCCAATTCTCTGTCAGTCCCAATGTCCCTGTCCCACACAGAATACCCTAGAACCCACTCCTGGGTGCCTATATTCCCTCTCTCTATCCCAATATCTCCCACTGGTGTCCCCATTCCCCTTAGCAGTTTTCTAGGTGTCCTCCCTGTGCCCTGTTGTCACAGCGTCTTCCTCCAGGCCCCTTGAGCTGTCCCAGTACGCCCCCATTCTTCCCCCTACATCTGCCCAAACTGAGTTTCCAAAGGGTGTTCTGGTCCCTCTTGGTTTCCTTGTTGTGTCTTCTCAGGCCATCCCTGTCATGCCTCTCAGGCTGCCCCTGTTCCCTCCTAGTGTCCCTGTCACTTCTAGGGTGTCTCTGTTCCCTCAGTGTGCTGACAGAGGTTCTGCCAGGGCCCCCAATCATTCTGGATGCCTACGAGGGGGCCCTGGAGCTGGGAAAGGAGCTAGACCTGGCCCCAGGGCCACTCTCAGCCCTGCTGGCCATCATGCGCCGCACCATTGCCATGTGCACAGGTGAGGGCAGGGGCAGGAGGGGACGGGAAAGGAGATAAGGTTCAGCCTTGGAGCCTTGGTGGAGCTCACCACGACTTCCCCAACCTCAGAGACACCCCTGCCTGATGTGGAGGAGTGCTACACCTACTTCAGCGAGCTGCTGTTGCGCCACACTGTGCATGTGAGTTTTCATGTGGCCCTCACAGACTTATTGGTGCTTGTGCACTCCTTGTATGCCCATTGCACGCTTGGTCATACCTGCCTGCTCCCTGCACACTCCTCACATGCTTCTTGGCATGCACACAACTCCCTGAACACACCCTGTTGCGTTTATTGACAGTCACACTCTCCTTGCACAGTTATTGAAGCCTGTATGGTCCTCACATACTCCCTGCACACTTAGAGGACCCCTGCTCCCTTTGTGTGCTTTCCAGACACTTCCTGGTGTCCGCACACTCCTGGCACATGGTGCCCACTTGTTCTTTGCACTTTCCCCATGTACTTCGCTGAGCCTGTACACTCCTGTAGGCTCCCCAGGACCCATGCATCCCTCTGCTCTACACCCTTACTCCCCCAACATGCTCCTGGCATGTTCCCACCTCTCACACTACCCAGATGCAGCTCAGATGCTCCTCTACTCTTGTATGCTCCCTGCATGCTTCCCAAACCTGCCTGTCCCTTGCCTGCCTCTGCCATGATGCCATTCCTGCAGTGCCCCCCAGTCAGTGTGGCCATGTTTGGGCTGAGCCAGGTGGCCCGCATTGCATCCCACGTCCTCGACACGGTCCTTCGTCACACCAAGCTCTACGCCTACGTCCTCACACCCCAGGTGAGCTTGGCACTGTCGAATGTAGGTGTGCAGTGGGGGACAAGGCCTGCTCTGATCCCACTCACTGTCTTCTGACCCTGCCACCAGGTCTGCCTTGACCTCACCCTGGTGTATGTGGGAGGCCCCGAGAATTGCCAAGAGGGAGAGGAGCCCACCATTCTCCCGCAGGAGGAGGAAGGAGAGACCCCTGGGAATCCCAATACAGGTCGGATCCCCCTGGCTGTGGGTTTGAGGGTTCTGGGGAAACACAGGGTAATGAGGGAGCCCTGGGTAAGCAGGGGACACCCTCAGATTTGGGGTGCACCCTAGCATCTCAGAGGGCTGGAGCACCATGGGCAAGGGTCATGGAAGACGCTCTGGGTTCATGTGGGCAACCAGTGGTCTGGCGGGGTCAAATGGGCACCTTGGGGTTATGGGGAGGGTCAGGTAGAGCACCTTGTTGTCTGGTAGGATCAAGGAGGCCCTCAGGGTTACAAGGTGTTGGGAGGGAGTCTGGATGGCACCCTGAATCACAAAGAAGGGTTGGGGTCACCAGTTGAGTACAACTGGGAATCTCCAGAAGCATGTCATGCCTTGCCCCGTGTCCTCCTGTTTCCCCAGTTCCCCTATGTTCTTCCCTGCCGACCAGGCACTTTGTCCTGACCCCTGTCTTCTCCCCATCTTGCTGTGTTCCTGGTGATACATGTCCTTTGTGTTCCATGTCCCTGCTGTACTCTGTTCCATCCCCTTGTCCCCAGGATCCCTTCTCCCCCAGTTGTTGGTGACAAGCCCTAATCCCTGACTTCTCTCATCCTGCATGTCCTGTCTGTATGTACCCCCAGTTTTAGGCTCTGACCTCTGCTCCCTCATATCCCCTCCTTGTCCACAGGGCCCCTTATGTGCCCTGTCTCCTCAGTGCCAGGCCCTGAACGCTGTCTTCCCATGCTCCCTGTTCCCTCACCTCTGATACCAGACCATGACCTATGTCTTTGTGTCCCCAGGGTCTCTGTTACAGGAGGTGGCAGTGGCTAAGCTTGTCCAAGTGATTCCGGGAGAGAGCCAGGAGGTGCAGACAGGGCTCCTGTGTACTCAGAATTAGCTTGGGACCTACCTTCCCCCTTTGGAGATGCCTTTGGTCAAGGAGGACCTTTCTGGTTTCCACCAAGCCTCACCCAGGGGCAAGAAAGACCTTGGAAGATTCCAAGGGTTTTGTCAGGGCAATAAAGGTCTTAGACCCTGCCAGCATCTCTGTGTCATCTCTGGGACTTGCCCCCATGCCCCTAGGATCCTCTTAGTATTCTCCATATGGCCTCTGGGATACCCCTAGGGAACTGCAGATCTACTGGTACTCCCATATTCTCTGGGATCTCCTCCTATATCCTCAGATTCTCCCTTCTCTTCCTCTCCTCACACATTTCCAAGCATGTAGACCCCTTTGTCACACGATATATTTATATATTGATTGCAGCCCCCATGAATGTGGCTGCTCTGGTGGCCTTGGTCCAAATAGCAAATGCGATTTATTTTCAGAAATGTAGTCTCTTGCAACAGCTGAAAACAATATAGACTAGTAGGAGCTTCAGTAACTGTGCTATGAGAATGGCACCACCTCACTTATTCACAGTTTGCTGCAACCTAATACTTGCTTTGGAATTTTGGTCTACCCTAGGTACACTTAAAGGTTGTGCATGATTTCAGGTGACTGTAAAGCAACTGTGATTTGTCAAGGCGTATCCATGAGAAAAAAAAGGCCTAGTTCACCTCTTCTGAACATGCCTTCAGAGCTTTGCCTGCTCAGGCTTTTATAGGGGTGAAGAATTGCAGGTTGCTTCATCCAGACCACTCTCTTATATGTCAGCCCAGCCCTAGAAGCTTCAATGGTGAGATGAGCACCTCTGTAATCTGTATCTGTGTGCTCTCTCCCAAAGAGTAGAGTGTAGCTGTGACAGATGCTCCAGCTGTATAGAAATGGCATCTGAAAAAAGCTATTATTCTTCACCCCAAAAATGCCAGGTCCCCATGGATGTGTAAATGACCCAGGGCTGCAAGAGGAGCTAGAGGCACTGCCTTCTCCTCCAGAAGAAACTGGTCATTGCCAAGTTGCTGTAAGACCCTGCCAGCCCAGCTGCCTTTCCTTCCCTTCCCTTCCCTTTCCTTTCCCTTGTAGATCTGCTCCATGATCTTGCAAGGAACAGAGGTGAGACTGACTGGCCTGTAGTTCCCCAGGTCTTCCTTTTTACCCTTTTTGAAAAAGGAGGTTATGGTGACTGGAAAAGGTTTCCCCTTTTCCAGTCAGTAGGAACTTCACCAGACTGCCACGACTTCTCAAATATAATGGAAAGCGGCTTAGCAACTTCACCTGCCAGCTTCTTCAGGACCCATGGATGGATTTCACCAGGTCCCATGGACTTAGGTGCCTGATGTACCTGATCTTCTCCTACAGTGGCTCGTTCTTCATACTCATAGCCCCTGTTTTTGCTCTCTCATGCACCAGCTTCTGGGAAAATTGAGTGATACAATGGACTGTTAAAAACTACCCTGAAAGCAATGGGTTGGTGGAACCTTTAAAATTTGGGGCAAGCATTTAGCAGAAGGTTAGTGAACACCAGGGGATCCATCAATTGAGCTGGTCCTGCTCAATCAGACATTTCACATACTGTAGAAGGAGATAAAGTCCCTGTGGTGCATGAAAAGAATATGCCAGAGAAAAGTGTTTGGGTTTCTCCTGCCTCGGGCAAAGGCAAACCCACTTGTGGGAGTGTTTTTGCTCAAGGACCTGGTTGTACTTGGTGGGTGATGCCGGAGGATGGAGAAATTCGAGGTATGGCTCAAGAAAATTGAAGCCTGGGTGAGAATGCTCAGTCCTGGGTCTGCTATAGGAGATGAAGCTGAGCAATCATGCACTAAATGGACTTAACAAACTAATGAGAAATTACTGGGGAGAGTCCAGCAAAGGCCACAAAGATGGGTTGCTCCAGGGAAAGGAGCACCTGTCTACTAAGGAAAGGCTGAGAGACCTGGGTCCAGCAGGACAGAGCTGTGCTGGCACAGAGCAGTGCTGGGAGGAGGCAGGCTCTGCTGGAGCAGCACTGCCCCGGCACCGGCACCCCGCTCCCCATCCTCGCTGTGAGCGGCCGCGCCATCTCTTTGCTGCACGGCCAGGGTCCTCCTGTCCTGGGCGGGATGGGCCAGGCCAACTGCTGCTGTGGCTCCAGGTGGGCTCCCCCCACAGTGGGGGGAGCTTGTGTGGGAAGGAGAGAGGGTCCAGTAGTGGCACTGGGGGAGCGCAGAGGGTTGATGCCAAGCAAGGGCCTCCACCAGTGGCGTCTGGCCAGGGAGGGGGACGTTGCCGCTCAGCAGCGGGTGAGTTTGGGCAAGAAAGAAAGGCAAGCTCCTGGCAGCGGCGGAGCCGTGCCGCCTTCTCCCTTGAGTGTGGCCATGCAGGTTGGGCAGCCCAAGGGAGGAGGTCAGCTGGAGGAGCAAGGAGCCCCGCTGGGCAGCGGCCGCTGGACGGGGTTGTGCGGGGACAGGCAGCCTCTGCTGCTGCTGCTGCTGCTGCCCACAGCTTGGAGGAGGGCAGGGCGAGGGCTGGGCCAGGCTGTCCCGCTGGCACGCCGGCTCTGCGGAGCAGGGCAGGCTGCAGGAGCGCTGGCCCCCAAGGCACTCTCCATTGAGGGGCTCTTGCTCTCTTCTCCTTTGCAGCAGGAGGGAGCAGCAGCAGCAGGAGCAGGCTTTGGAGGTGGGGGCTGCCCTGGCCCTTTGCTCTGCGGCGCAGCCCGGCTGCTGCCCAGGCGCCAGGGCAGGCGGGCTCCGGCTGCAGCAGGAGGCTCTTCTGGAGGCCACGCAGAAGGTAGGCTGGAGCCACCGGCCGCCTGCAGCCTTCCTGGCCCATGCCAGCCGGGCTGCTCTTCCCCAGCTCCCTGGCTGCCTCCTCTCGGGAGCAAGTGCTGCTGGGGGGGCTGCCGCCAAGAGCAGCCCCACAGCCACAGCCGCCCCCTCAGCAGAGGCCAGGCTGCGCAGGGGAAGAGCCTGCTTGGCCCCTGCCCCTGCAGGCAGCAGGCTTGAGAGCCAGCCTTTCCTGTGGGCAGGTGAAGGTGCTGCTGGAGTTCCTCCTGGAGAACGCCACCGACATCTTTGGGGAGGAGATGGCCGGCCTTTCCCCTCCAGCGCCAGCCCAGGAGTCACCAGCCCCCCCGCAGAGAGGCAGAGGTAAGAGCAGGGACTGAGCCCCTTCACGGGCTGGGGATGCCAGAAACCTCCGCGTCCTTTCCGGCGGGGCTGGGCACCAAGTGGGGTCCTCTCAGCCCTCTCTCTCTCCTGGCCTCTGCTTGGTCCTGGGGAGCTCTGCAAGAGGAGCCCAAGGCTGCAGACAGGGCTCGGGGGGCTGAAAACACCAGTGGGGCAGGGCCTCGGGTGGGTGCTGCTTGAGCGGCTTTTGCCTTCCAAGGACTCACTGGGCTGCACGTGCTCTTTCTTCCTCACTCTGCCTTTAGAAGAGCCAAACATCATCGAAGAAGCTGAGGACGATGCCGTGGTGGAGTGTGAATCGGGAGAGGTAGGTTCAGGTCCCCCAGCACGGGGAGAGCGCGTCTGGTGGAGGAGGGGAGCTGCTGATGAGGCCAAGTCACTGCTGTGCCTCTGCCTGGCAGGAGAGCTGGTATGTGTTTGGGGTGTTCTCCCAGTCCCCAGGATAATCCCTGGTGAGGGGAACTGCAAAGGTTGTTCCTCCAATGCACTAGGCCTGTGCTTAATGCCACACAACACCTACAAAGTGCCCAGAAAAAGACAGAGGGGAGCAGTTGTCACCTTCAGAGGAGTTTTGCTCAGGTCCTACTTCATCAGAGCTTTATCAAGTCTCTATTTTGGGGGGCAGGGGGAGTGAGCACAGTGTGACTGAGCCAAAGCAGCCAAAGGGATCTCCTCTGGAGAGCTAAGGCAGCCATTTGGCAAACAGTCGCCTACGACTCCAGGCTCTCTCTTGCCACCAGCCAACCCAACATTTCACTTGTTGGCATCTCTGGCTTTGCCTCCAACCACCCCCAAGAGCGTGGCAGGCTCCCTGGGGCACCCAGAAGAAATGGGGAGGCTTTCCGTGGAAAAGAGGTAAAATGAGCTGCTTTTTGGTTAAAACCAGAACTGACTGGGGGTGATTGTGACTTTCCTGAACTAATACCCCTGTGGGATGGAAAGATTTGCAGACTCCGCCCAGGATAAGGAAAAGAGAAGACAACACAAGAGAAAACGGACCTGGGAAGAGGAGAGTGAAAGCCACGTGGCAAAGAAGAGGAGGAAGAGAGGAAAAGCCTTCATGGATGGAGCCAGTAGAAGATGCCAGAAGGTGCAGAAGGTTGGCAAGGCCAGGTGTGTACCAGGCTCTGCTGTCCACCTTTCCCAACTGGGAACACTGCTCTTATGGGGTCCCGCTGGCTGTCAGGGGGCGGCGAGGGATGGTGCTGGGCAGGGTTTGGGAAGATCTCCATGGCAGCTCCCCAGGGGCTCCCGATGGAGCCCCGCTGCTCAGTGCCACAGGGGCACCCAGCTTCTCTGCACATGCGCGGGCCTCCAAGGGCATTGCCCGTGGGGACAAGGCACCAGAGCCATCCCGGGGACAAGGCCAGCGACAGCTCTCTCTTCTGGGCCATAAAGAAGGCCTCATCAATGCTGTTCCCCAAAGAGAGGGGAACCAAATCCTGACTCCTCCTGCCTCTCTGGCTTTAGCAGAGCTTTCAGATTCTGTCGTTGCAGGTGCTGATGGACCTTCTCCGGCTGAGGCGCTGTGACTCCTGAGACTGCCCCATCGATGTCCAGATGTCCACAATAAAATGAGCTGTTCTCCTTTCTGACTGAATCTGCGTTCTGGTTTGAGCGTCAGCTCTCCCTCTCTCTCCCCTGATGGTGGCCATCCAGAGAACTCCTTGCCCCGCTGCTGGACCCCTGAGCCCTTCCCTTCCTCCCGAAGCCGCGGTGCTCCCCGTGTCCCACCTTTGCTGTCCCTGCTGGGAGTCCACATCTTCCTGCTGAGAGCAAGGCCTGACTGGAATCCTTGTCTGTTTTATACTGGCATCAGGATCAATACTGGTTCTATAGAGCTATTAATGTGAATTATTTTATTATTATT